CCGTGGAAGAGCTTCATCTTCGTTTCGGATGCCAGGAGCCCTTTCACTTCCTCTGCAACAATCCGGTGTCCGCCACGGACTACCTTATCTAGTTGCTCATCTTTGGCGTTGACACCACCGGCACGAGGACCAGAGACCTCCATTCCACGCGCAGCTTTGCGGACCTTTTGGCTGAGATCCATGATCTGCTTGTTACCAAAGTCACGAGAGGTGAATAGCGGGCTCTGGCTGAGAGTCGCGACCCAGTACTTATTCCATAGTAGAGACAATAGTTCTGTATCAAGAGTGCTCTTGAAATGGCTGACGTCAAGAGAGTAGTACTGATTGGCATGTGCACCGAAGTCCTCCGCCTTCCCTAGGGGAATAGTCTGATACTCATCGTCCTCATGAGCCTCCTTCTGCGGGGTAAAGTTTGAAGGGAATGTGCGGAAAGCGCCGATTTCAACGCGGCCCGCGGAGATGGTACGGTCCGGATCGATGACGACAGCGACGAAGGGTCCCGTCATTTGCTGCGTTTGCTGAGTGGCCACATCAATCCCAGACAGCCAGCAGCCATAACCAGGATGACTGTGATACCATCCGACAGCATTTTCCATCCGCCCCGCATCCCGACACGATTGCAGATATGATACCATATATTCGTTTGCTTCGTCCTGTGCATTGACTCGGGTCTCGGTGCCTTCGACTGGCAGCCGGAACGCATCTGTCACCACGAAGGTATTGGGTAGAATATAGCCTTGCATTAGACCCATAATCTCTAGTGAGCCACCCGAACGGGCGTGCATCACCATCTTCAATAGTGCCGTAGCGGAGATTCGGACGTGCTTGAAATAGTATGGGTCGCTAGACCATGGTCGCTTGTCGTTGAGGGCTTTTTCAATATCGGCATTGTATTCGTAGAGGGCGTCTCGTTGAGGGTCGAAGACGCTTATCGCGTTCTCGAGCTCTGTGCGGGGACATTGGTCAATTTCAAGCTGGTTGTCATTTGAATATGGAGGTACTCACCCCAGGCCTGCTGGGCAGCCTGCATTTTGGATGGATGGGGATGGAACAGGCGGTCGAAGGATAAGCAATGTATTGAAGGAAATCTGTGAACTGAAGGCAAGGGCTTGGCGATAATGAGAGTTCTGCAAGGACCGGAGAATAAATAGTATCAGAAACCAATGTATTAAGTAGAATAGGCCGTGGGGTTGATCAATGATTGGCAGTATTGGGCGGTGGGGTAGATGAGTCAGCTGTTGCCCAGGACAACGATCGATCCCAAACATCCACTTGCGACCTTGGAAACTTGATGTTATCATCTGCGATTTCAGTGCCTCCCCCTCATAAACAACAGCGTGTTCGCCCTCCCATGTCGCTGCCCTAAGTGCTTTCACAAACCTCCACTCTCGTTTATTTCCGTCGCACCTTGTGTGCTGAGAACCCTGTGTGCCAGGCTCTCTTGTTTTGATCCCGGCATTGGTCACCCTGTCGCAGCCTTGCTCGGCACTGTGTCGTTGGATTGGATACATCCCATTCTTTGTTATCAACCTCGACTTTTGTCACCCTCATTAAAGGACTGTCATTACTATGGCGGTAGACACTGGCTACCTGACCACTCAGGTCAATAACATCGTCGCTCAGCTCCATGGGATTTACGACGAGATTGGGGTTCCTGCGCGCGAACGCGAGTCCCGCAAGGCGGAGGTAAGTTTAATCTTGGTGTAACAATGGCATTGTCGCATGGCTAATAGAGTGACACAGCTCTTCAGCGCCCTGTCGGAGACCTTGAACAACCATCTTAAGGTTGTTGATGAGTGAGTCGCACCTATAAACACCATTGGAGGCTTGCTAACCCTATTATTAGGGAGCGAGAGGATATGACGCAGGAAGCACAACGTCTCATTACAGCTATTGAACAAATGGAATCGTCCCTAAGCGATGAACGGGCCAATGGGCAATACGAGCTTAACCGCGACGACCTTCGTGTTACTTACCCACTTAACAAATGCATTGCATTCTTGCGCGAGAAGAACGACGCGATGAGCAAGTTGCACCGTGAGCGCTTTGAGCAGGTTAAGAGTGAGTGTTGTTTGTGTGATGTGTCGCTGATGTCCCTTTACTGACATCCAATAGAACTTGTCGATGCGCTTGAATCCTACTCCTCACACCTCGAGCCATCATTTGTTAAGCTAGAGCTTCCCCCTACTGCGCCGGGGTCCTCGATTCCCCCGAGCTTCGACCTTTCGCCTATGTATGTGACCGCATTGGATGCCGAGTTCACTCATGTCTATGAAGAGTACCATCGCCGCATTGCCCAGGTCCAATCTGCCTGCGAAGAAATGATTAAGCTCTGGGCCGAGCTCGGAACACCCCAGGCGCAAACAGATTCCACTATCGTGAAATGTTATCGCGAATCCCCTGAACAACTGGGGCTGCATGAAGACGATGTCGCCAACCTCATAGCCAAGCGCAATAAATTGGTGGAGGAAAAGAAGAGCCGCGAGCGCAAGATCAACGACCTGAGAGCTACTGTGATCTCTCTTTGGGATCGCTTTGGTGTTGAAGAGGCTGATCGCAAGGCATTCCTGGCTGCGAACCGTGGCTGCGGTTTGCGCATAATAAACGACCTAGAAGAGGAATTGACACGCCTCAACGAACTCAAGAGACAGAATCTCCACCTGTTCGTGGAAGATGCTCGCTGTCGATTGCAGGAACTTTGGGATAGTCTCTTCTTCTCCGAAGAGGAAATGCTCGATTTCACACCTGCATTCTCCGATGTGTGCAGTGATGCCTTGCTCGAGGCTCATGAGGCCGAAATTACACGACTGGAGCATATTAAGGAGCAGCGCGCTCCTACTCTCGACATGATTGAGAGACACCGCAATCTTCTGGCAGACCGCGAGGCCCTTGCAACGTCAAGCCAAGATGCATCCCGCCTCATGGGCCGCGGCAACAAGGGAGAGAAGCGTGACCCTGGAAAGCTCCTCAGAGAGGAGAAGCTGCGCAAGAGAATTGCCAAAGAACTGCCAAAACTTGAAGCTGACCTACGGAAAGAGTTGGAACATTGGGAAGACGAATTCGGCCGACCATTCCTTGTGCACGGAGAGCGATATCTTGATTCGTTGACACCTGTCAGGTCGATGCCTCCACCACGCTCAAAGACACCATCTGCACCACCATCAACTACCAAAGCAAGCACTATGAGACAACAACCGCCTACCCGCCCTGGAAGCTCCATGAGAGGCCCGCCTCCCCCCCGCTCAGCCACTAAGACCCCTACTAGCAGCGGCCCAGTTAAACACAACACCATTGGCTATGGTGCCTCTCGAGCTGGGGCCACATCAAGAGCTGGTGCAACATCTCCTTCCAAGCTTCCCGCCCGTGTCCCGCTGGGAAACATGCCCCATGGAAACAACTCCCCTGAGCGTCGTGTCCAACCAGGTGCCTACTCGTCCAGCACACTCGGAAAGATGCCGCCCCCACGCGGACCTCCCCCACGCATGCGTGCGTTAACTGTCGAGTCAAGGGAAGACCGCTTTAGCCACCTCATGGAACCACCTCGCTGCAACAGTGCTATGTCTAGCGCCTATGTGCGACCTGTTAGCCCCGAAGACGTCTATGATGACCGGCAGCGATCCTTCATGAGCAATTCAGGATTTTCGAACTCGCAAAGATCCACCGGATTCTCTCATTCATCTCACTCCTCACAGTCATCATTGTCTCTGAACTCCTCTAGTCAGACCTTCCCCCGACCCAACCCGTACCTACAGCACCCAGCCCCACCCCCAGTTGCCCGCCAGGTCTCCAATGCCTCTACAGTCAACACTGCAACCTCTGGATCTGAAAACTGGGAGACCTTCGAGGACGGTTCGGGATCTGAGGCTGATTCCAGTGACATTTACTATTCCAAACTCCGTGCTGCACACGGAGGAAAGCGATTTGCACCCGAGGATGGATCTGATCTCACTGGCAAGAAGTCCAAGGGTATCCGCAGTGTCAGTCCAGATGGTCCGCATCCCGGGCAGGTCCTGCGCGTTGCTGGCAGTGACAACGAGTGGGCCGATGACTATGAAACTTACTAGATGTTCTGATGTCCGGCTTTTCTTCGCATGATGCACCCCCGCACCTGTTTGCACCTCATTTCTCGGCGCCTCGGATGTTCAACGGTGGTTACGCAGCCGTTGAACTTTGATGATCCCACGACTGGATTCTGCACGGCTCATGATAAAACTTGGCTTTCCTTTTGACGACCAAGCTCCCTTGGATTCCTTATGGGCAGTTTTCTTCTTCACATACGATAATTCCCGAGGGGCCGACTACAACTTCTCTTCCTGTTTAAAATTACGAGACTATCATGTCATTGTTCATGCTCTTATGTTCTCCTTCATCTTTCGGTGTTGTTGAGACCAATCCTGCGCCTGACTGTGTCATGGCGCATCCTTCTGGGGATTCCTGTCATTCACGCTTTTCTCGACTGACGCCCTCGCTGTTTCAACTCCCTCTGGGTTTAATCTTTTCCTTTTTCTGGACCTTTTGGCATGGTGTTATTTTCGTTTCTCTGTCACTTATGGTTTTCCCTTGGATTGGTGCTTATGGCTTTATTCCCTGTCCGATCTCCGGTTTTGGGAGTTGGATTTTGTCCTTGGTTTTCACCGTTTTTCTATGTATTTGTCAGCGAAGCACAGTGTTTTGATATAGTGTTGTTAATTCTATCTTCTGATTCCTCAAGCTTTTGTTCAGTTCAAGAATATAAGTGCGTTTTAAGAGAAACTTGACTTCTTTATGGCTATTCGTTCACTCTAGGACTTGGATTGTAGCCTAAACAACAAGGTAATCTTGAGATTACTAACAATCCCTGCTCAAGACGGACTCCGTACGGATTTAACGGAGTTCTATAGCTTGTTATCAGGCTACCGTCAAACCGGCCCCCTGTGTCTTTTTTGGGGCTGAATCCCATATGTTAAATCCAACCCCAGGGCTGTTCCACACAAACCATAGAAGCTTATATCTGCGTTGCAATGGCGAACGTGGACACCTGTGACAGCCTCTTTGGGCCTGTGGTCAGCCAATATAATTGTCGTAGGTTCGACTTCACAGGTTCATCTCTCCTATATCTGGGCGCCTAGGGATTCCCCACACTAACAATGCCAAGTTCTATTTGAAGCTTGGATATTCAACATTACTCCAGCAGCTTGTTTTCTCCTGCTATTACCAATTCGCCTGTACCAGCTATCCAGAGAGCCCTTGAAAGTAAAATCTTCATCGATTCATTTATTGACGCTGGTGAGTCTCGCTATCTATCAATGATCCGACCTGAAACGTCTAAATAATGCCCTATACAGGCTATCGCGACAGTAGTGGCAGGAATTCAAGTCGTGCTGCTTGTATTTAGTGCGACGCAGAACTACCCCGCAAAATATGTGTCACTTGCGGGTGCTACCATCAGCCTTATAGTGGCAGTTTTCATCGTTGTTCTGCTTCATTTAGAGCATAGCCGGGCTGTTCGACCCTCGTTCCTTGCTTCTGCATATCTGTTTATTACGGTGCTTCTAGACACCGCTCGAGTACGCACAGCCTGGCTGTTACCACATGGTATAGCATATCCAGCCTGCCTCACTGCGTCTCTGGTCACCAAGCTGCTTCTCCTGGTGCTAGCGAATGTTGAAAAACGGAAATGGTTGTTGCCGGCCGAAAAGAATCAGTCTATTGAGAGTACAAGCGGGCTCTTTAGTCGGGGATTGTTTGCCTGGCTCAATGAATTGCTGAGAAAGGGACATACCTTGCTGCTCACTAGCGATTCACTACCTAACATTCATGAGAAGCTGTCGTCTAGTGATTTATCCGACCGGTTTTCAAAGTCATGGGCGCTGTGTGACCAGAATCGTCAGCATGCATTGCTGCTGGCTATCGTCAGTTGTCTTCGCTGGGATATTGCTGCTATTGCTCTTCCTCGGCTCGCCCTGATAGGGTTTAACATAGCGCAGCCATTTCTAGTTGGAAAAACCGTCACATTCCTCGAACAGACTGAATCTTCGTTGAATATTGGTTATGGATTGATAGGAGCCATCGCGATCGTCTTTATTGGAATTGCTGTAAGTCTTGTGTCTTTAACCACTTGTTCCATTACCGGATGGCCATTAACCGACTGGCTTTTGTAATTTAGGTAACTACGGCATCATACGAGCACCTAGGATTTCGTGCTACGACTATGGTCCGTGGTGGACTTATGGCTCTTGTCTATCAGCACATGATGGAGCTGCCACTGGGTAGCACCGATGAGTCTAGTGCCATGTCCCTCATGGGTGCTGACGTTGAAATGCTTGCGGAGTACTTTCACTCTACAGTGTGCGAGTCTTGGGCTTGTATTATACAGCTGGGACTAGCTGCATGGATCCTTCAGACTCAGATTGGCGTTGTCTGTATCACACCCATTATAATTGTAGCAGGTATGTCTTCTGACTTCAGATCATAAGTAATGGTCACAATATACTTACTACCAGTGTTGGTTAGCTTTCACTGCTGCTTCTTTTGCGATGGGCAATGCTGTGTCTGCTCGCCAGAAGACATGGCTACAAGCTACCGAGAAGCGCATCAATTTCACCAGCCATGTCCTCAGCTCAATAAAAAACGTGAAATTTCTAGGACTAGCAGAGATCATAAAGGGATCCATTGAAAGCCTGAGGATTGAGGAGCTTGAGATCTCCAAGAAATTCCGCCGAATCCAAACCGTCCGTGTCTGCATGAGTAGGTAGACTTGCAAGTTCCTGATGAGGAATTCGATTGAAAACACCGATATTAGACTGACAAACGCTTTTAGTAAACCTTCCAACAATCATTGCGCAGTTGGCCACCTTTGCGACCTATGCTGTGGTTGCGAAGGTGCAAGGGTCTGATGGTCTTTCCGTCTCACAAGCCACCACAGCCCTTTCACTGATAAATCTGTTAATCAGTCCTCTCATGCATCTATTACTGGCAGTTCCAGATACATTCGCATCAATAGGATGTCTATATCGGGTCCAGGACTTCTTGAGACGTCCAAATATTGTTGGTAAGTACTCTGAGACACGCCCTGCTGAGCAAGATGCACAGCGAATTGACCTCATTTACACAGAAAGAAGAAAATTGCTCCAACCGGAAGCAGATCCTTCTCATATACTACCTACGAGTTTATCTGAATTTGAACTCGGGACTATGGGGATTTCCTCAGAGAATCAATCCGACGTCCTGATCTCCCTGCAAAATGCCCGGTTTGGCTGGAGTAGCTCTCCGTCAGATATTGCTGGTATCACACTCAATTTGGGTCCCTTGCCTTCGGGTACTCTAGTTGCAATTGTCGGTCCTGTCGGGAGTGGGAAGTCTACCTTCCTCAAAGGCCTCGCAAATGAGACGTCTGTTCTCGACGGCGAAGCCTTCATTAAGTACACAGACCTGGCTTTCTGTGAGCAAACTCCATGGCTAACCAATACGACAATCCGGGAAAATATCATTGGGGAGAATTTATCCGCTGCATTTGACGCTAATTGGTATTCGACGGTGGTGAGCGCTTGTGCGCTGGATTCTGATCTTAAGAAGATGCCAGCGGGTGATGAGACGGTCGTTGGTAGCAAAGGCTCCAAACTTAGTGGAGGACAAAAGCAAAGAATCGTAAGTACAAAATTATTTCCCTCGATATCGATCCGCTCTGGAAATAATGGCAATGGGTTTGTAAACTGATTTACTATATATAGGCTATAGCGCGAGCTCTCTATGCTCGCAAGAGGATTGCGTGCTTCGATGATACTTTGAGTGCTCTTGATAATGCAACCGCTCGCCTGGTATTCAACAATATCTTTGGCCCGTCTGGACTGCTGCGTCGACTGGGCTGTACTGTGTTCCTCACTACTCACAATGGTGCGTTTCTCAACCCTCGATATCTTCATCTGTCACTTGTGGTGTATACTGACCACTAGCACTAGTTAAATATCTACCGCAAGCCGACTTTATAGTCGTACTCGGAAAGAATGGCAATATTTTGGAGCAAGGCAGCTTCTCTCAGCTTGCCAATCATGCCGGAGGATATATTAACCGGTTAGGCATCCAGATCGAGAAAGAGGATATGCAGGACGACAATACAGTCGGGCTACCAGAGACTCATGAAGTCATGGAAAGCCACATATCCACCCCAAATTCTACCGATGAACGCCGCCAGACGTCTGATATCTCTGTTTACAAGTACTATTTCTCTGCCATGGGGTGGGTTCGAGTCTCTGTGCTGACTTTCCTACTGGTGGTAAATGGCGGCATTGGTGGACTCCGCAGTATGTCAAAGTTCCCCTTGATTAATGACTAATACCGTATGATGCTAATAATTTTTGCATAGATGCTTGGATTGGGATGTGGTCCTCTAGCGGCGACAGTGTTTCGAGCTCGGGATTGGGTTATTGGCTTGGAATGTATGGGGCATTATCTTTCATCGAAGCCGCTTCGATGGTTCTGGCGGTATAGTAAGTGAAGCCTTCTTCTTCTCGTTCGGATTTTTATGCTAACTAGCTTTCGTCTATAAGTTGGACGTGGGTCGTCATTGTACCAGCCGCATCGAGAAATGTTCATGCTACCGTGCTGCAAACTTGCATGAGGTGATATTTCCAATCCTTCAATCCAAATATGACTAGCTAACATGTTTAGTGCCCCTTTGTACTTCCTATCTCACGTAGACACCGGCTCTCTCATCACCCGTTTCAGCCAAGACATGAGGTTAGTGGACATGATCCTCCCTCGAGGTTTCATCACCACAGGATTCCGTAAGTCCATCATTGTACATGCTGTCCGATTATTCTGCGGGTTTCTAACTTGAACAATATCAAGAACTTGTTGGGGCCCTTTCACAAGCCGCGATTGCGATAGCTGCATTGCCCTATCTGGCTGTAGCTCTGCCCTTCCTAGTTGGGATGCTAGTGCTAGTCCAGCGCTTTTACCTGCGCACATCTCGCCAGTTACGGCTACTAGAGTACGTTTGCCCGCAGTAACAATGTTTTGATTAGTTCAACATGCTTTTTCACAGTTTAAAAGACTGACAACTCCCCAGGATCGAGCTCAAAAGCCCCCTTTATACTCACTTCATTGAATCCCTCGCTGGTATAGTCACCATCCGTGCCTTTTCATGGACTCCTGCTTCTACGTCAAAAATGCTTGATTTACTCGACAAGTCCCAAAGGCCATTCTATCTACTGCTGTGCATTCAGCAATGGCTCGGCCTGGTGCTGAAACTAATGGTGACCGGCATGACGGTCATTCTGGTCGGGGTTGCTGTACCTCTGCGCGGACAAGTGAGCCCTGGTTTATTGGGTATTGCCCTAATTGGGATGATGGATCTAGGAAATATCCTCTCAGACCTGATCCAGAGCTGGACTCTCCTAGAAACGTCTTTGGGTGCGATTTCTAGGATTAAGGAGTTCTCGGAAGATACACCCAGCGAGGAACAATATGCAGCCTATGAGCAGCTTCCAGACACACAATGGCCAAGTGGCGGTGATATCTCATTCGTTGGTGCAGACATTGCATATGAGTCTGAGCACACAGATCCCGTGTTGCACAGTGTTCATCTGGATATTCGTACCGGGGAGAAAGTTGGGTTGTGTGGTAGGACCGGAAGGTGAGCAGATACAACCTTGAAAACAAACTGTACTAGAAGGCTGACCGTTCACAGTGGCAAGAGCACCCTGGCTCTATCACTACTCCGTCTTAACGAGGTAGTTTCTGGCCAGATCCTTATTGATGGAATAGACATCTCGACAATTCCTCGATCATTGATTCGGCATCGGATCAGTTCTCTCAGTCAAGAAGCCTTCCTTTTCCCTGGTACTATTCGGCAAAACATCGATCCTTTAGGTCTCGCCACCGATATTGATATCATCGAAGCTCTCAAATGTGTCGAAATCTGGAATTCCCTTGTGTCTGCGACGAACAGCGGCGCTAACAATGGAGTGTTGCTAGATGCAATATTGACTGACACGACTTTGTCTGAAGGTCAGAAACAGCTGTTTTGCCTAGGAAGGGCGCTTCTGAAGAAAAGTAATATTCTGATCCTAGATGAGCCTACAAGCAGGTATGTGATTTCTTTGCTTCTTTGTTTTGAATTCTAACTAATCATTACAATCAGCCTGGATGTAGAGACAGATGCCAAAGTCCAGCAGATCATTCGCCAGGAATTCCAGAACTGCACTATCATTATGGTTGCGCATAGAGTTCATACCATGCTCGACTTTGACCGAGTTGTCGTTCTGGATAGTGGTCGAATCATAGAAGAAGGACATCCATCGGAATTGCTGGCGGACAAAGAAGGCGTGTTCTCAAGTCTGCATCATCTGGAGCAGTCAACAGGAAGTAAACAGGAGCTCTGATTGATAGGGCCATCTCAAGTTGTACGTAAAGACTGATAGTGTTTAAACCGCAATGCACATGAGTACGTTTAATTTCTCCCATATCAATCAACCAGGATATTCATGGTAGAGAAGAATTGTAGATCAAGACAGCCGCTCATCATGAGTTAATTGCTGCAATTGAAGATAGGCAATCTGCCTACCAATTGATTGAATGTATCATAATATTGTGTTCGGAAAATACATATTGGGATTTGGTTATATCAGATACAGCTATAGTACAGTCACTCGGTCTCCTCATTTTATATTACCGATTAGTCGCAAGACTCCCCATCCAACTCTGATCCTCAGGCAAAGTTCCCTTAGGAACTCTCCGGCCAGCAGAAGGAACCAAGGACTGTGTCAATGCTTTGGCATCCTGCACTCGGCGAAGTGTCTCATCTCTCCCGAGGACTACCATAGTCTCTGAGATTCCAGGCCCAGGTGCAGAAGCCGATAGAGCCCAGCGGAGGTAGTGATACAGCTCCTTTTTGAATATTTTGCCTGCGCTCTTAGGGTCAATGGATATCTCTGACTCAGACGCGGTGATGATTATGCTTTCCGCGCCATCGTAGCTGTTAATGTTGTCGCGGTGCGTTTCAATGTTCCAGGCAGAAGGCGGGACGAGGGTTAAAGCGGCTGCTGCGGTGTGCAGGGCTTGAATTGGGACCTCTGGGGATGGTTGGGGTGAGACCGGTTTGTAAGGGGCTCTGCTGAGTTTTGGAGTGAAGAATACGGAGTTACGCTCGGCGAACTCCTTTGCATCTGTGTAGCTGTTGACATCTGCACGGATGAGGGGCGCGATGTATTCGGAGAGAGTGCGACCTTTGAGGATCGTGGCGCTGCTGGGTGTTAGTCATTTGGTACCATATAATCTCCGCGTGGGATTTTTACGACTGGTGGTTGACTTACAGTTCGTCCAGAGGGTAGCTTTCTTCTACCACCGAGCTCACTTTCTTCACCATCTCATCGAATTCGGGGCCGCCGCTTTTGACCAAGCGTTGGATATGTGCCTTCTGGAGGAACTGGAGTTTCTCAAAGGAGACGACAGTGTTGCCTCGGGTGATTTTTAAATTGAACTGGTAGCATCATTAGAAATTACGGCGTTTTCGCGGGACTGAGAAAAACATACAATTTGTTCCAGTTCCTTTAGGCTTAGCACATCAGACTTTTCGGAGTGTGACCAGCCTAGAAGCGAAGCAAAGTTCACCAAGGTGGCTGGGAAGATGCCTTGCTGATCTCTGAATGATGAGAGATCGATGTCTGCATTGCGCTTGCTGAGCTTTTGTCCACTCCGGTCGACGAGCAAAGGGACATGAGCAAAGCTTGGCGGCGTCCACTTGAAAGCATTATATAGCGCCATGTGCATAGGTGTGGATGCCATCCATTCCTAGTAGATGTTAGTTCAGTACCTTGTGACTTGATAGCTACAAATATAACAAGTGAACTCACTGTTCCTCGGATAACATGAGTGATCTTCATGCAATGATCATCCACGACATTTGCCAAGTGGTACGTGGGGTGTCCGTCTGATTTGATAAGAACCGGGTCGTTATATACACGGTCGATGAAATCCAGCTTCGAGTTGTTCAGCCGATTCTGACCAGATTTCCCGTAAACCAGATCATTGAACATGGGGTATTCCTCCACTTTTAATCGAATAATGTGTGACTCTCCCTTGGCGGCTCGGTCTTCTGATTCTTCGGCAGATATATCGCCGCATTTCCGGTCATAGCCAGGTGGCAGTCCTGCCTGGCTGCGGTGACGGGCGATCGAATCCAATCGTTCTGCGGAGCAGAAGCACCGGTATGCATGACCATTGGAGATCAGGTCATTGGCGTGGGACTGATATAACGCTGTTCTTTCGGACTGCACGGGAACAAAATGTTAGGGATTATTCGCTTTGTGACAAAGGAGTGATATCTCACTTGTCTGTAAGGTCCATAAGGACCACCAATGACGGGACCTGTCAGCAAAGCAAAAGTCAGCGATTTCCCTCAATATCTGTATATATTTCAGATTTACCTTCATCCCAATTTAATCCTGCCCATTGTAGATCATCGTAAAGTCGCTGTTCTGCCCCGGGAATCGTCCGTTTCTACCGTAATCAGCCGTAAGTCCATGCGACGGAGCGCGGTCCACGAACCTGGTCTGTGTCCTCAATGCGCAACAGGAATTGACCGCCTGTGCGTTTCGCAAGCAAATAGTTGAAGAGCGCTGTCCGTAGGGAGCCTAGATGGAGGTATCCGGTGGGTGAGGGCGCAAAACGTGTGCGCGCAGGGCCATTTGGCAGTTTGTTCTTCGAATTAGGTGCCCGAGCAGCCGGAGAAGAAGAGAAGGCTCTGCATTGGAAGCGGGACCAAGAGTGCCTGGCAAATAGCCCTTGAGGACTTCTCATTGCGAAATAGTCCAAATAGAAAGAAAAGGCCGATCTCTTGAGATGTGCGGAGTTGCGGAGTTGCGGCGCGGAGCTCCCGAACAAAATTTCTCAACTTTGGAATCAACAACTCCCGCTCTCACATCTCATTCACCAACGTTTGTTTCTTGTTACTGGGGTTAGGTTGTCAGCCTGTCTCTATTGAAGAAAAGTCCGATCGTATTTTATACGATTAATCACTGATAAGTACGTTGGAAACTCGTGTTGTTCTTCGACTCTACTAACAATGTTTTCAGTGGCTACGGCTGGAGCTGACCTCTATGGTATGTGCTTGTTTGCGCGAATCAACTACAAAGAATATCATATTAATGGGTTTTTCATATAGAGGTCCTAGAGATCCATCAGAGCTCAACCAAAGAGGATATCCGCAAGGCATACCGCAAGGCAAGACGAATCCCGATCATCTCCGTATTCCGGCGATACTGACAGACGGCGGCGTTTTAATAGGCGGCCTTGGCCAACCACCCCGACAAAGTCCCCGAAGGCGAGCGTGAGGAAGCCTCTATCAGATTCAAGGCCGTGCAGGAGGCCTACGATATTCTCTATGACGATGACAAGCGACACCTCTACGACACACATGGCATGTCTGCCTTCAACGGCTCGGGTGAGCCTGGCATGGCAGGACAACCTGACTTGGATGACTTGCTAGCACAGATGTTTGGTGCTGGCATGGGTGGCATGGGCGGGATGCCTGGTATGGGAGGAATGGGAGGAATGGGAGGTATGCCCGGTGGTCGCTCCAACAAACCGCGCAAGAGCCCTAGCGAAGAGCAAGATTACGAAGTCAGCCTGGAGGATCTGTACAAGGGCAAGACTGTTAGGTTTTCGAGCGTCAAGAACGTCATTTGCGGACACTGCAAGGGCAAGGGTGGCAAGGAAAAGGCCACTGCCAAAAAGTGCGCAACTTGCGACGGCCATGGCCACAAGGAGGTCCTGCAGCGTATGGGCCAGTTCGTGACCCAGCAGACAGTTATCTGCTCCACATGTAACGGAGAAGGCTCATACTTCGCCCCCAAGGATAAGTGTAAGAAGTGCAAGGGCACAAGAACGACCGAGGCGAAGAAGATCCTGGAGATCTACATACCCCGAGGCGCGAGGTAAGACAGCAATTTTTTTTCCCTTCATCTAACTGGATCATATGCTCACTGTACTCTAGGGAGGGAGACAGGATTATCTTGGAAGGCGAGGCCGACCAGGTGCCCGATCAAGAGCCCGGCGACATTGTTTTCAAAATCATTGAGGAAGAGCACCCCGTGTTTACACGAGCCGGTTCGGATCTCCGCGCAACTATTGATATCACTCTTGCTGAATCCTTGACCGGATTCTCCCGCGTTGTGATCAAGCACCTTGACGGCCGTGGAATCGAGCTAAACCACCCCCTCACCCCCGGTACTGTCCTCTCACCCGGACAGGTCCTTAAGGTTCCCGGAGAGGGAATGCCGATGAAGCGTACTGATGCCCGCGGCGACCTGTACTTGGTTGTTGACGTCAAGTTCCCAGATAGCCAGTGGAAACCCACCCCAGAGATGATTGAGAAGCTTAAGGAAATTCTCCCCAAACCCAGCTCCCCTATCAAGTGCGAGACCGTGGACGAGGTTGAATACGACCCCAAGGGCCGGATGGAAGAATTCGGTGCGATGGATGGCCATGACGCATCGGGATGGGAAGACGAGGAAGACGACGATGAACCGGCACAGTGCGCAGCTCAGTAGAATTCTTCTTGCATAGATGGCGTCTGGGATTTTGTTATTAATAGGGACATGTGAATAGAACAACCCTCTTGACTCTTAAGGGAAACACATTGTAGACCAATGTACATCGACGTAGGGCATATGGCAGTTCCACTCGTTCTAGAGTGGATCAGTGTGGACAGCGTGGGGTGGAATTATATATTCGTGTCTACTCTTTGTTTCCTTTGTACTAACGTCCTTCGGATGAGACATATCGAAGGCTATAATATATCAAGAAGTTGTTTCTGCAAGTTAAGCCTTTTCCACCATTCTGTGCCTTCTACCTATAAAACCGATAGGTCATCTAAACGGAATACCTGAGCCCACTGAAAAGACATCTCAAGGCCGCATAAGCTATTCTTATCCCACCAAATCCGGGGCCGATATGCCGAACTCCGGGGTCGGCCCCGGCACATTTTCGGCTTCGGTCTCGGCTTCCTTTAACTCGGATTTTCTTCCTTATACATCAACTCCAGCCCTATCAAGCCAAAGTCCCAATAGTATATAGTCCCCCACAATAAAATCCGCGACCAATGTCGTGCAACACCAAATCCACCTGCAAAGGTTGTTCCTGCAGCAACAACCCACCCCCAAATATCGAAGACTGCGAAAGCGAGCTCCTCGCCCTCCGCAAGCGAACCCACGATCTAGAAAAAAAGCTGGCAAATCTCCAAATCCGCACCACAGCACCACAGCGCAAGCTACGCTCAACACGATGGTTCAACGACGACGAAAATCCAGGCATGACAGCTCTGTATATCGAGCGGTATCTTAATTATGGACTGACACGCGAGGAGCTCATGTCCGGGAAGCCGATTATCGGTATTGCGCAGTCAGGCTCGGATCTCGTGCCTTGTAACCGGCACCATTTGGAGTTGGCGAAGCGGGTGCGTGAGGGTATTCGCAGCGCTGGTGGGATTGCATTAGAGTTTCCTACGCATCCGATTCAGGAGAGCTCGCGTAGACCGACGGCGTGTTTGGATCGCAATCTTGCGTATCTTGGTTTGGTGGAGATTTTGTATGCCTATCCGTTGGATGGGGTTGTGCTTTGACGGGATGTGATAAGACGACGCCTGCGGCATTGATGGCGGCTGCTACTGTGGTATGTGTAGGCTTTTGTGCTTTTGTCGTTCGCTCGTCAATGGTAAAGCTAACACTATGTGTTAGAATATCCCGGCCATTTGTTTAAATGTTGGTCCGATGTTGAACGGATATCTGAAGAATGATCTCGCGGGATCAGGGATGGTAGTCTGGAAGGGAAGAGAGATGTATGCTGCTGGCGAGATGAATCGGGAGGAGTTCATGGATTATGTGGCTCGTGGGTATGTTTCTGCTAGAAGTGAAGTTAAAATTGGAAGAAGCATATGCTGATATCATACAGAGCACCGTCTGTCGGCCATTGCAATACTATGGGTACAGCCTCAACGATGAACGCACTAGCAGAAGCACTGGGCATGGCGCTCCCAGGCTCGGCAGCAATTCCAGCTCCATACCGGGAACGGGGCCAGTGCGCGTATGAGACCGGCGAGCGCATTGTCGAAATGGTCCACGCAGACCGTAAGCCAAGCGATATCATGACACGGGCAGCATTCGAAAACGTTATAGCCACAAATACCGCTATTGGTGGGAGTACAAACGCTCCCATACATATTAACGCCATGGCCAAACATATCGGCGTCGAACTATCACTTGACGACTGGGACCAGATTGGGTTTCAAATCCCTCTACTCCTGAACATGCAACCCGCCGGCGAGTTCTTAGGGGAGGAGTATTTCCGCGCCGGCGGACTCCCTGCTATCATGGCAGAGTTGTTAGACGCCGGGAAACTACGTCCAGATGCATTAACCTGTAATGGAAAAACAGTGGAAGGGAACGTGCGTGGCAAGCACACCTGGAACCGGCAGATTATCCGAGCGTATACCGAGCCGATGATGAAGGATGTCGGATTCTTGCATCTGAAAGGCACTCTATTTAACTCGGCGATTATGAAAACATGCGTGATATCAACAGCTTTCCGGCAAAGATTCCTTGAAAACCCAGACGACCCCAACGCATTCGAGGGTGCCGTTGTGGTCTTTGACGGGCCAGAGGATTACCATAGCCGACTTGACGATCCCGCGACACCAATCGATGATAGAAGTATCTTGGTCATGCGCGGCGCAGGTCCCATGGGCTACCCGGGCGCCGCTGAGGTAGTCAACATGCACCCTCCAACACGGCTATTGCGACAAGGAATTACCTCACTTCCCTGCATCGGTGACGGCCGGCAGTCTGGTACATCTGGCTCGCCTTCTATTTTGAATGCAAGCCCCGAAGCAGCAGCTGGTGGGAACCTTGCGCTTCTTCGTGACGGGGATCGGCTACGGGTAGATTTGAATAAACGTCGCGTTGATATTTTGATTGGAGAGGAGGAACTCCAGCGTCGTCATGAGGACCTCAAGGTTCGGGGTGGGTTCTCTGTTCCCGAGAGTCAAACACCGTGGCAAGAGATCTTCCGACGAGAGACTGATCAGTTGAATGAGGGTATGGTTTTACGAGATGCTGTTAAGTATCAGCGTATTGCGCAACGCTGGGAACCTCGGCATAACCATTAGGGTTCCCCGGTATGTTATTTGGGGGCATTGTGTATTTATACTGTGGAGCCGGGGGAATAAAGTACAAATGCGCAGATGAACATTATCCCGGTGAGCCGAACTGTATCTGACAATAATTTCAGATTTGGAGTATATACCCGGGGTCTACCCGGGGTCGGGTGGGAGGGTGGGAGGATACCGGCATTTGAACTTCATGAAAGACCCCCAGAAGGCTTGGCAGTGATGCCAAGAGATTGGCATAAGTTATAAGTCCAGTCACATACCAAGAAGAAAGCAATTAAGTTATATTAGGTGAGTGCAAGGTAAGAAAGAGGAAAGATTAAGAAACGCCAGGTATAATGTGGCTTCGGCTATCGCAGGGAGATGATCCTTCTGAGCTCGCCATACTTTCCTTTTTATATTTAAGAAAGATGATTGGTGGTAAAATTAGGAGATAATTTCTCCGTCTTTATAGTCCCAACTTCATCATTTCTCCAAACAATTGAACTGTTAGATCCACTTCTTCTCGGCTATTGACCCCATGGCACGATATATCCGGGGTATTCTTTCCCCAAATGAGAAGATCGGTTAGTGCTCTGGGCTTTATAAGTCTAATTCTCAATCCGAATCCTTTTAATCTACATACTCTGGGAGTCTAGCAAAATGGGTATATTCAAGAACAGTCGTGTGTATGTGCTCGCCACGGTAGCATATACCGGTTCATTCTTATTCGGTAAGATCTCTCCCTCTCTCTCTATCTCTCCATTATCACAATATACTAATAAATCCCTAAGGATATGACACCGGCGTGATGGGCAGTGTATTGGAACTTCCAAGTTTCAAAGCCGACTTTGGACTTCAGGAAGGAAGTTCTGGATTTTCAGATGCCAAAAATGCCCAAGTCTCATCGAACGTCGTTTCACTTCTCACAGCCGGATGCTTCTTCGGCGCTATCCTCGCCTCCTTCGTTAACGAGAAGTTTGGCCGTCGCTATTCCATCATGGGATTCCTGATGTTCTTCCTTATCGGCTCTGCTGTCCAAACCGCCGCTCACAGTGAATTATCTTATATGTACGGTGGACGAGTGATTGCAGGTTTCGGAATTGGAGGCATGTCCGCCATCACTCCAGTCTTTGTGTCGGAGAACTGCCCACCAGCGATCCGTGGTCGTATTGCTGGTCTCTTCCAGGAGTTCCTCGTCATTGGTGTCACCGTTGCATACTGGCTCTGCTATGGTGTTGCAGAAACCATCCCCGCCACAACCAAACAATGGCGTATCCCTATTGGATTCCAGCTTGTGCCAGGAGGTCTGATGATGATTGGCTTGTTCTTTTTGACCGAATCTCCTCGTTGGTTAGCGAAAGAAAATCGCTTCGAGGAAGCACTCGATGCCCTTGCGTATATGCGCAACGAGCCAACTACAAGCCCTGCGGTTCAGACTGAGATGGCTGAAATCAAAGCGGCTGTTGAGCACGAAGTCGAATCAACTCAGGGCCTTAGTTGGAGAGAACCTTTCCTGCCTGGAAACCGAATTCGCTTTGTCAATTGTTTCTTGATGATGTTCTGGCAGCAGTGGACAGGTACCAACAGCATTGGGTACTATGCTCCCCAGTTGTTCCAAACCGTTGGAGTGGCTGGAGGCAACACGAGCTTGTTCACAACGGGTATCTACGGTATTGTCAAGGTTGTTACCACTGGAATCTTCCTTGTCATTGGTATCGACAAGGTCGGTCGGCGGTGGTCTCTTATCGGCGGCGCTCTTTGGATGTGCACGATGATGTTCATCCTCGGTGGTGTTCTGGTGTCTTACCCTCCTGACCCAGAAGGGAAGGGCGGAATTTCATCAGCCTCCCTCGCTATGATTGTCATGATTTATTTCTACGTCATTGGATACTCCGCATCGTGGGGACCGATTCCATGGGTTTATATTTCTGAGATTTTCCCTACCCGCCTTCGTTCGTACGGTGTTTCTACCGGTTCGGCAACCCAGTGGCTCTTCAACTTTGTGGTCACTTACGTGACTCCAGCGGCCATCAATAACATTGGCTGGCGCACCTTTATTATGTTTGGTTGCTTCTGCTTTGCCATGGCTATCTGGGTTTTCCTTATCGTCAGGGAAACGAAGGGTCGCTCCCTCGAGGAGATGGGCGTCCTCTTCGAAAAGTTCCATGCCTTTGGCAAATTGCCTGATGTTGAAAGTGTAGCTTTTGAGCGGAAGCTTTCATTTGATGATGACGCTGCTACCTCGACTCATAATGAAGTACAGGGTGTCGAAACTGAAGAACATGTGAAGAAATAAAGATTTTGTTGCACGTCGCTGCTATACTGCGGAGGCGCTCTTATGTCCAATTGTTTCCTAAATTCAATGCCAATTCTAGATTGCGGGTGTACTGTATATAATCCTAGCTTTATTTTGATCAAAGTTATGACATCTAGTACCCAACTCCCATTATGCCCTCCCTTCCAGTCGGCAACGTTTGTTCAATGCAATACTCAATTCGTCGTTTGTAGACATGATTTATTTTGACAGCCGCTAGTAAGGTAAATAAGGCATTTTTGACGTAGAAGTAGTAGTCCATGAAAAAGCACGGATAGTTTAACTGTGCCAGCGAGGGATTCAATGAAATAAGTGTAAAGGGGGCTTCTGAGTTCGATCCCGGGGGATTGTCAGTCGGTTAAACTGTGAAAAAACCATATTGATCAGATTAAAAGATTGTTAGTATAAGCAAACTTACTCTAGTAGCCGTAAATAGCGAGATATACGTAGGTAAAAGCGCTAGACTAGTACTAGTGTCCTAACTAGGAATAGAAGAGCCATAGCTAGATAGGGTAATGTAGTATAAATAATTTTTGAAATAGCTGGTATAATAACGACCTAGGGATAACTTATAGATAAAAGCCAATTAGTATATATATCTAAATAAAAGTAAAGAAGGCTGCACTCACTAGAACGCTAGGACTATTGAAACGGCTGTCCTTTGATATACTGCGGAGTCCACCAATGCCGCCATTCACCACCAGTAAGAAAGTCAGCACAGAGACTCGAATCCACCCCATGGCAGAGAGACTTGTAAACAAGGTTAGCAGACATCTTTCTGCGTTTATCGGTAGAAACCGGGGTGGATATGCGATCTGCCATGACTTCATGAGTACCTAAAAGCCTGGTTTCATTGTCACTCTGTATCTATTCTTTTCTAAGCATATTAATCTAGACTTACTAGGGTAGTACAAAAGAGCAATGCTTTATAAAAATGTCCGTAGCTATTCGTAGGGAAACGTAACCGCAGTTAACATATAGATACTAACAGCAAAAGAGTCGCCAGGTCACATCTCCATGATCCAACTTGCGATCGGTAGCAAAGGTAATGATAACAGCAAAAGGTTCACATAGGGGACATCTACTCAATCCAGATGATCATCGCGAGTGATGAAGAAAGCACTCCGCACCCTGCGTAACTAGTAGCAACTACCTGTGCAACATCTCCAGGTTCTGGTAGACAGTTCTTTTGTGAATCGGGCTTTGAGATTGGCCCTTTGATCACATCTGCAGTTTTCCATCGCAGAGATCCCGAATTAGGTACGTTTGATAAAGATTTCCGAGTCCAAGTTGCGACAATGTGCTGCCAGTTGGGTATATCAGGGCTCCAAACGTCCAAGTTGCTAAAATCCGGATTTTTAAAAACCAACAAAGCACTATTGACGGAGCCAAATCTCAGGACCCATTCTAGAGAATCTGAGGTATAAATTCCCGGTCCTAACTCATTGTCCGAGTTATTACTGTGGACGACCGGGACGAAAAAAGCCAACAGCGCAGCTAAAGCGGACCGAGTAGACACTCGGTACAAGAATGAGCCCCCACCAAGTTTGCCAATGTAGTCTTTAAGGATCTTTGCAGACAGGCGATCCTTGTTCTTGTCGCCCTTTACCCGAACTGTGGTAATATCCTGAGGTAGAAGTTGTGGCCTGCAGGTGGGAAAGAGATCTTCCAATCTATGGCGAACGCATTCGAGTCCAACTTGTGGGGGGATCGGGTCGAGTCGGAGTGGCATAACTGCCAGCGATGGCTGATGGTATTCCAAAAAGTACCGATCATACATCGGTCTTGAGATTTTGCCCTCTTCAAACAGGCTCTCCAAGATCCATGCTACACCTACATTGGTAGGGATGAGACGTACTTCGTCTTGGAGGGCAATGGCTGGGTCATAAATAGCGTCGACCAGCTCGTCGAGGCCTGCTAGCCAAAAGAGACTACTTAGGGGGCCGATCAGCTCGTCAAATCCTAAAATCAAATTAGTAAAATAATCCTCTAGCTTTCGAAGGGATATAGGTCGACTTACGATAGCTATTACTATCGAGGAACTCTGTAATATCGTCGGGGATTGTTCCCGGGTACCCATACTCCCTTGACCATACTGGGCGATATCCTGCGTCCGCTAAGGCACTTATGTTGCGAGCGAGCTTATTGCGATTTCCCTCCATACCGGAGGGTTTCCCTGGTGTATCCTCGAGGATAGTAGGTGTTGTGGGAGTGGGTATGGATCTAGCTTGGCTAGATGAGGAACTCGAATTCGAGTGTGTGAGCGATGGGAGGGATGAAATCGAAGGTACATAGTCAGAGTCGGTCGGACTTATCGAGGCCGAAGTGGGTGGGCTTGCCGAAATAGGCAGCGGAAAGATTTGATTTTTATCCATGGCTTGATCGGGTAGCTTGAGTCATAACATGAATTGTTCATCTAAATTCCATGATGTTCATACAGCTTCGCTCTTGCCGAAAATAATAGTACCTGCCAGTATAGCTACATCTTGGCGCGTTCTCAGACTCATACACAAGGTCTGCTCTATAAGAGAAAGAGGAACACACAAACGATCGAAAGACATTGATCGATGAAACTCCCCAATGTTCAAAACACCCCCAGTCCTATAACTCAACCCTGAACCTCGATTTATCCAGCCGGGTTCGCACAGGTGAAAGGCGTCAGGTTCCCCCCTTCGAATGACTTGTGCATCGAAGTAACTGAAGCCCAAATTCCCAGACCAGCGGCAGATAGCGCACCAAAGGAGTAGATTACATCAAAAGTGTTCCACACAAACTTCTTCTTGTAACCTCTAATCCACCGCTTCGTTCCACTATCCAAGCGTTGTACCTCGCCAGTTGCCGAATTAAATTCCTCTTCGGGGAGCATTGCGTCATTCTGGACGTTGAACCCAACCAGCAACATTGGTGGGAATGTGTAAGAAAACTGCAAGATGCAGGCGGCTCCAACGAAGGATGTGAGATTGCTGATTTGCGGGATTGCGGCGGCAATCACCCAAGCGAGAGCCCAGTAGGCAGGTGCTAGAGGAGTCGTTAGATGTTTGAATTCAGTGGAGTCTTGGGGAAGTAGATATTAACTTACCGAGCCCTACCCACACCAATTTACCAGTTCGGCTGTTCAAATCCGGGAGATGGAAGATATCATGCAAAACAACGTTGTAGAAGACTTTGATACCAATGTTACCATATAACAGTGCTGCAATGACGCCGGTGATAAATGAGATGGCGTTGCCCAAAGTCTGGAACCTGTAAGCAGAGTTTGGAATACCTGTTTTAGCACTGTTAGCAGTCTTAGAATTTCACTTGGATGTTATATATCTTACCCTGGTAAGAAGGATTGAATGTGAATTGGCCCTGCGCACTGTACACAACCATGCCACAGAGAAGGTAGCAAACGTAGATGAATATTTCGGCAATAACGAAACCCTTCCAGAAGTCATATGGCCGTCTCATCTCAGCCATGAGCTCATTAAAGAGAGTTGCGCCGCCGTATGCGAAAACAGCGTTCATCATAGCATTGACTTTGTTCTTAAGGGTTGAGCTCTCAGGCCAGTAGCCGCTTGTTACCACAGGTCCCTTTGGGGTCTCATAGCTAGTGAACGAGGCTTCGTAATTAGGAGGATACTGATGAACCACAACCATAGTCATGATGACGACAATTATATTCATCCAGATCGCAATGTTGGCCAGGTAAGAAAGTCGTTGCAGGGTACGAATCTGCCCAAGCAAAAAGCCGATGACCATGAAGATAACTTCAGCGGCGATGAAACACAGGAACCCCTGGCCATTGGCACCGACGGCCATCTGGGCCAGTCCTTGTCCGTTGCTTACAATAAGCAGGGACACATTGAGGAAGAACTGGAAGCTTTGTAGGACGTTCACCAAAATGCGTGCCCAGTTTCCATAGACACGGAAAGCCAAATCTCCATAATTGCGCATTGGGAATCGAGTTGAGTCGAGGCCGACGAAGATCTTCCACAGTTGCAAGCCGGAGTAACAAGCCATGGCTCCAAAAACGGTGTAAAGTGCAGCTCCTGGTCCATAGCCCATCTGACTGATTGCCCAAGGGACATTGATCGGTCCGAGGATATCTGTGGTAATGAGATAGAAGATCGAACCCCAGGTTGCAGTTCGCCCAGCCCGTTGTGCCTGTTCCCATTCCGTCTCGGTGATACCCCAACTATCGCTTGCGCTATCGCCATCCGTTCTGCTGGTATTTTTGGGGTTGGTCTCAGTGATGACAGGCGTACTCTGTACTGGAGTGTCAGACGTTTTACTGAAAAGCCTCTTTCTCCAGTACGCAAATCCCGCATCGTCAGTGGAAATGTGCTTCTCAACCTCGCGCGACCGCTTAGCCCAGTAGACATAATTCTCAAAGGTAATGCTAGAATCCAAGTAAATCGAGCGGTTGCCATCAAGATAAGCACGCGGGGGCTCGTGGGAAATAGACATAGTACCCTCCTTTGTGTCCATCTTTTCTCCATCTAGATGAGCATCGGCACCCATGTTGGCGCCGGAGATCTTGTCCGCCATGATCAGAATCGGACAATCTCTACGGATTGTATAGGATTGTCCAAAGTAGGTTTAGAGAGAGATACAGGAAAAAGAATGGGAATCTCAGAAAGTGCCATTGTCTTCATATACGTTAGGAAAAGCAGACAAGCCAGCCTATTGTCGACAGGGACTGCCAATATCGTGTGCCAAAAGCACTAGGATTGGACATTTAAATTGGGGCCATTCCTGTGGCCCCAATAACGTCTGTCCAATATGTGAAAAGCCTATCAGTCAGCCACCAACTCACCAAATGTAACATGGCCCCGATATTTTACCGGAAAACAATGCTTCGCCTTTGTACGACCCCTGCGAGTGGCCACTAAGATCAGCCCCCGTTTCATCGGGGTTCCACATAAACCTCGGCAAAAGCTTGTCTCCGTCTCCGAACTTGCTGACGGCGCAGATAATAACCAGAAAGAGGATGCACCGCCCTGTTTGTAGTTAGTTCAGGTGCGGAGGTCCACCGGAGGCCGTGTATGTACCTTCCTTTTCTTGAATATACTTGAGCAATTTATTCGCCAAATCTGAAACATCCCGTTGTGATCATGTTGATTACTTGTGGTTCATCACAGAGTCCGGTTGAGCCGGGCCATCATGTTCGGTCACTTCGGTGAATGGGGCAACGCCCCGCGTGATGTGCTGGGGATGTCTTGAATCACCCATGGATAGTCACCTTCTTTGCGGTAAATCAGACAATAGTGGCTTTATCAATGAATTTGCGAATGAATCTGACCACTGTAATGTAGGATGCCTGGAGCACAGGCCTCAGCACTTGAGGCCACTATTCAAATGCCGCAGAGGTGAGTTGGACCAAGTCAGACTCATCAAGAAAGCGTAAGATAAACAGGTTAGTTACCTTGGTAATCTGTTTATGTAAATGTCAATATCCCCCGGGGCCCCGGGCATTCGGAGTGATAGGCATTTATGTCCAATGACAACATTGGGATTGTTGTTTACCTATGTTGTACAAAGTACAGCGGTCTGAGGCCCAAAAGGCTTCTTACTAATTATGGAAGGTGTCACCTGCCTGAGGTGCCCACGTGGGTGCCAGTGAGGAAAAGGTTCAATATGCCCATCTAAGGTTATATTCATCTCTAATTCTATCTACATATGTACAGCATTAATTCAACTACCCGCATCGATCCAAGAACCCCGCAATGCGGCGATACATCTCTACAGGGTTAGAATACATAGGGAAATGCCCAGCGCCCACAATGTCGGCCAATTCAACACCGTTCTTCTCCAACAACGGCAGATACGACAATCCACGCATCTCCTCCCCGAACATAAACATGCGCGGACACGGTAATGCCAGAAACTTATCCATCAAGTCCCCATGATCAGTCAACAACACCATAGACTCAAAAATAGGCCGAACCGCACCAGCCCGGACCCGGGAGCGCAGGGTACTAGCATACATGGCACTACCAAATGACCCCGACGTACGCGTGCGCTCAATAAATGCATCCATGAATGCATCCCCGTCATCGGCTGGGAACATGAAAATCTGGCGACTGAGGAAGCAATCCTCTGGTGCGAGGTTTCCCTTGATATCCACGAAGCTGAGGACACGGCCTGGATGCTGGTTTGCCAGGAGTAGGGCTGTTAAACCGCCCATTGAGTGACCTATCAGGTGGAACTTTTCTATATTGAAGCGTGCAAGAAAAGCTTCGGCGGTCGCCACCAGGAACGGGATGTCTGTTGCCGAGACGTCGTTGCTTGTTGACTGGCCGCAGCCAGGGGCGTCGTAGGCAATGAAGCCATGGTGTTTTAGGGATGGCTGGATCTTTAGATCGGCGAGGTCTTCTTTGCTGGAACCGAAGCCGTGGAGGAAGAGGATTGGTGGGTTTGAGTTGAGGCTATGAACCGTTGATAGATTGAGGCTAACGCCTTGGACTGTGAGGGGGATACATTCGAAGGTAAGGGACATGATGAAATGAGTGAATTTAGATTTTAATACTTTTTACATTGGGTTTTATATTTGATTGTCTGTGAAAATTTTCGAATGGATACTTTTATCGGTTCGGCGAAATGTAATTTCGCCGCCCATTTACTCATCAAAGAGTCATACCTCCTATGGAGTAAATTCACCTCGCGCTAGGTATCACAATCTGTGGTGACTAGTCAGCATAAATCCAGGAATATCTGCCTGATTGTATCTTTTTGCTTTTTCTTTGGGCAGATTGGGGAGAAGGCCACGAAACGTTCCTCGCGCGCTCCACCCCACGCCGGTCTGGTTTTCCAAAGCACTCCAGCAAATCGTATATGGGCCATTTTGATCGGCATAAATCCCTAGAACCTGGTACTACTGCCGATGGATATTGGCCAAATGTGGTATATGTTCAGCGGGCACTACTGTCGCCCATGTGGGAGCTATATAGTTCAAGCATAATGACTTGGATTCATACTCCGAAACAAGGCGCAGACGATGATCTTACCCCCATAGAACCCCACAGCTGCAAGAATCGACATAAAGAATGCTTCTCGGCATAGATCACCATCTTCCACTCCTGGGCTATCTTCAATGTCCACATCCATTCATGACAAGGGGATCAGGTCCGAGAGATGACTTCCCCTCTGCTCAGTCCTTAATGAGGGATAGGGGGGTATTATCGGATGGAGAGACAGATCGAATCCCCCTGGCGAGCCCTTGTCTCGAAATATAAGATTTCACGCACCATCGTCCACTGGCTTCATAAAGCACCTTCATTCACGCCACTCAAGGGTCTCTTGGTGTCTTTCAGGTTCCAGAGTTCCCACCGAACCGAGATCCATGGGCATCCTGGTTGACACAGGGAAGAACCAAAACTTCTTCAAGTCTATCAATCCAAATGACGTGGTAACACCCACGGCAGAATCGAGGCCCAGACTAATGTCCACCGATAATGCGGACCCCCAGTTCAGAGTCTAGTCCAGCGAGCGCGGGTGCGGAATCGAACAAATCGAGCCCGGTCTGCACCATGTCCGGCCAGATCACATTTGGAAGCATGTCCAACCTTGGCGACCCCTTCTAGGCCCAAACACCGGCCGGCTGCTAACCGGGATTCTGCCGGCAGGTGACCCATCGGCTCGAATTCACAGTGCGTGGAGGCCAGAATGGACGAACCCGCTCGACGTGTTTGCCGTGATGTGTATTGGTGCGGCGGCGCTAGGCGGGAGAAGACAAGTTGTTTCTCCCTAGATACATCCTGGTGGTTTCTGTTGGCTAATAATCCTTGGCCTAATGTCATAAGTGGTCTAGAACTCTCTTTAAATTTTCCAGTTGGAATATTCCCAAAAAAGCACACAGGCCTAATCATCTGTTGTATCACCTACAGAGTAGACGATAGATAGATCGGTCAACAATGAAACCCATGTTGACTATGCATTCAAGCTGATAGGATCATATTAAGATTGGCCCGTGTAGGGAACGCGAAAAGGTCAAAGGTTTGACGGCACCATACAGGTGAATGAAGCGGGTGAGATGGTTTATCATACCCGGGCAATTTGAAAGAAGGCCAATGACTCAAAAGGGGCTCGAGGGCATGAAAACAAAAAATATATTAGTGTTAGGAAGTCAAAGAAATTGCCGTCGCATTATATTGCCGTCAATGGGTTAGCACCAATTTGTCAACAGTTGAATTTTTTTTTCCCAAGGTTTCTATTATTGTAAAGCCGTGCGTCATGTCATGTTGCCAATTCAGCAAGGATTTGCTTGGCGATCGCCTACAACTGCGAGGCTCTAGACCAGGTGGCACCGCAATGATTTCTGGTTTGTTGGATTGAGAATGTGATTATGCATGGACAGGGATACTTAAGCCTAGATAGTGGTGAATTAGTGAAGGTGCGGCATGTAGTTATCACACCATATATCAGCTATGTTAATCCAACAATGATCGAAGGTTATAAAAAATAACGATTCAATTAATGAGAAAATGGATCATCAACTTCAATTAGGCCAGACCAGGCTAAAAGAAAACGGGCTTCCAAGCTAGGACATCGCCGAGAAACATATAGGGCTGAACCACGAGGACTGCGCCACAAAGAACTTTGCAGCCTGGAAATTACCCGGGAATGTGTGCCAAGCGGCCAAGTGTTCGAGATTTTATAATATTAAGTCGGAAAGTTCCCGTGAAACCGGTGGACTACGATTGGGAGAGCTATGATGAAAATGTCGAGGATCAGCCCTAAAGAGGACAATAACAGGAGATGAAAAATCCCGCTGGAACTGCCAAGGCTCGGCTGGTCCCGCAGGAGAAAATCTCTGAGGTCAGCGGGTGACTAATCCACATTTTTAGTCATTTTAGCCACTCGAAAATTGGCAAAAAGTGCGGGAAAGTCTAGAGCTTACCCCATTGTGGCTTAAGGTGGATCAACTGACTTTTTTTTTTTCTTTCGTGACCGCCAAATATAAAACACACTTTTTCTTCTTATATATCTTGATCACCATGGCGACATTCCTCCAGTTAAATGCTCAATCTCTAGCACACGCTCTTGTCGAGCTCTAACATCGGCCGTGCGCGTGCTACTGCGTGTTGCCGATTACTGCAAGTCCAAGCTCATTTCGACTCTTTCTATTCGCCTACCATCCTCATTTCCTGAAACAAAGCTGTTCCTTCAGAGCTGCAAGCTTATCACCCCCTATTCCTCGTGGAAACACGACAACCCCTACTCACCGCATCGATAACACACCTTGCTACCTGGCCAGTGCTGTTTGAATTCGACATCCCCAACCAGTCCTTGCCTCAGATTACAACCTCGTGTCAAGTGCATTTGCGCTTCCACATTCTTTGTCTCCCGGACTCCTCTACACCGAGCTTTTGTGAACGCGGAAGACCCGTCAAATTCCTATCTCAACTTGAATTTTGACCAATTGATATTTTATCATTTCCCGCGATGGCTGTCGACTTATAACCCGATCTCACCCTTGATTTTTCGCACCTTGGTGTTGTTCTCTATCAACTTGGACTTCTCCTCCGATTTTTGTGGAGTCATCCTTGCACATACCTTTTATTCTTATCTTGATACCATTTTCAATATGGCGCCCAACCTCTTCCTCTGTGCGCGCAACATCTTCTGCCCTACCTACTGGTTCCAGAAGGGTGATAGCAAAAGCAATCTCAAGGAGCAACACTGGGAATCCCCCGTCCCGGGAACATACAAGTTCCTCCCGGGTCGCGGATGGCACCTCATCCATCGGGATGGGTGCGAAGATGATGAAAAAGTCCCTGCTGCCCTAGTCTACTGCCGTATCCTCCACCGTTACATGTTCGAATCCGAACTGGAGGAACGTTGTCGCTGGTTCGACGCCCCGCTGCACAAGGGTGGCCGCCCGGAAAAGCTGCGCTTTTTCCTCCTCGACGACGGCATTCACTGGGTTGCCGGCTGGGATGCTGAGGACAACTTCATTCTTGGGCCTTACCCCAAGTGGTGGCTCGATGAAGATGGACACACCATGCGCCGCGGTGCCTCACCTCCTACCAGTTCCAACGTGTCCCGTTGCAGCAGTATCATTGCTGGCAAATTCGATTGAGCAGCTTGTCTCAACTACAACTTCTGAGGTTGTCTAATGACAGCCCTTCTAATGATTGGAAATTCCATCATACATGCATACCCCTGTTAGCGCTTTTTCGATATTACGAAGCGATTTAGCGTGTCTCTGTTTTTCTTATGATAACCCACAAAAGTTCTTGGTTTCGGTTTTATGTTACGGTGATGGATCTGTTTTCGCGTTTCTTTGTGTCTCATACATCTCTGGTTAGATTAGACTATTTAATGATTCGGAGTTTGGATGATCTTCTTGATCAACTGGCGCATGTTTGTCTTTTCTTCGCATCTCATACTCCTAGTATTAATACCAATCCTAGCGGTGTATCTCGCCGAGTTACATCCATATATATATCTTGCCTATTTTCTTCTGAATTCCTATAGATCATTTGATCAACCTAAAGTCTAGAATTCCAATCCCTCTCGACCAAAATCACCCAGAATAATACAACTATCCTGAAATGCAAGGGACTACCTATATTCCGATAAGAAAATTATGTACAAGCCCAACATTCTACCCCTCACAACTTAGCCTCAGCCTTAACAAGCAACTTCTCCAAGCCACGCCTAGTCCGCTCCTCCATACCCGTCTTCCCAACCCGCATAGTCTCCCTCAATACAAAAACATGCGTATAAGTCCCAACCATCTTAACATCCTCCTCCCCCTCACGGAAAATACCAACTTCCCACGTAACGCTAGACTTGCTAAGCCTATTAACACGCAACCCGACCTCCAGCAGATCCGGGAATCGCACCGACGCAAAGAAATCGGCATGTGTCGAGACAATCAGACCTATTTGGTCGGCCCCTGCTACTATGTTCGACGGCGAGGGGAAATTGGAGGGCTGTCCCTGAGTCGTTGCTGGGGCTGGGTTGTTCACGCTGAAGGGGTCCATCCCGCAGTGCTGGATTAGGTATGTGTTGGCGATTGTGTCAAAAAGATGTGTGTACACTGCGTTGTTGAGATGCGCGTACATGTCGTTGTCGAACCTGGAGGTGTTAGTGTCGGTGTCATGGTTCGTGAATCGGCTACTGACCAGCGGGTCTGGTGTACTTGGTGGAAGCCATAGTCGCTGCGCTTGCGTTGCTTTTTGGCTGCAGACTCTGCGGTAGCCATTTTTATTTTTTAGATGGGATGGTTTTGGGTTCGAGTGTGATTCTACAGTGTTTATGCTTGATATAACCAGAATGTGCTGGACCTCGGCCCCGGCATATCGGTGATTAGGTAACTTTGGTGGGGCCCTGGTTCCTGGAGTGCCGTTCTTTGATCCACTTGCCTTTCATCTGATCCACAACAAAGAAGTAGATAGATATCAAAGCTTTCATATATATTTAATAGTGTCCTATTCATTCTGTGTAAATTCCAGGGCTTGTTAAGAATTACTTGGAGTATTCGTCATTACATTCTTTTTTCGGCTTTGTTATCATACATGCGTCGAGGAATCAAGCTATAGTTCAACAAGACAATGGAGGCTCCCCTACCTAGAGCTGGGATTCAAGCACTTATACTATGCGGTCCTGGGACCTCATTTGGGACTCTTCTTGATCAAGAGAAGTCTCCAAAATGTCTTGCCATAATCGCTAACAGACCGATGATATATTATCCGCTAAAGTTCTGTCATATTTCGCATATCAGTGGTGAGTGGGACCATTCGGGCCTCACATCGCGTTTACCATGAAAGTTCCCTAATTGTTTTAGATGTCACACTGGTCACACATCCCTCTACCCTTGCTCATATCAAATCTGCTTTACAACAAGACCCTGATTTGAAATCACTCCCTTTGCCGAAGGTTATCGCCCCTCAAGATCTTCAAGCAACAATGGCAACGGCACAGTTGCTTCGCCTTCCCGAGGTGCAATCTTGCATTAAATCCGATTTCCTCCTCTTGCCTTGCGACCTCGTCTGTGAAATCGAGGGCACATATCTGCTCCAAATGTGGATGGCATCACAAGGCCAGATGGTAATGACTGAGAAAGAAAAAACCCGTCGGGGTGGTCTTTGTGTATATTACCATGCGGAAAATGCCGTAAATGATGAGGCCTTGGATCTGATAGCTGTTGAACCACTTCGGCAGACCAGGCTATCAAAACTGCTCATGTCCATCGGAATGGATACCGTGAAAAGAAACCTGGAACGTGATAAGGGTTTTCTTCTTCGTCAATCCTTTGCAAAGCAGCGAATCGCCCAAGCCAAGATGTTGACCGGCTTCCGTGATGCACACCTCTACATTTTCCCCCATTGGGTCAAGGATCTCGTACGACATCAGGAAAGACTAGTATCTGTTAGCGAGGATCTCATTGGGCTCTGGGCCAAGTCTGGGTGGCAGCAAGGACTGCATGAAAAGCTAGGCATGGATACTTGTTTGAATCAGCAGAAAGAAAACGAAAATTACGACTATCGGGAATTGAGCACAGTCACCCACCAAATACCACAGAACGATGTGTCGAGAGTACCATCTCTCCTAGCATATCTGCATACGGGATCAACACCACTTATCCGTCGTGTTGATAATCCCGCTCTTCTTTTATCAACTTCCCTTCGTCTAGCCAAGCAAGAATCCATTGAAGAGGTCGACCGTACAGCTCGATCCCCATTCGCCCATGACCGGAAGATCGCCTCTCCGGAATGTGTGTCTTCAAGCTGTTTTATTTCAAAGGCTGATTGTCTCCTTGGATCCAACGTTATTGTTGAGAGACATTCTGTTATAAAGGAATCTTGTATCGGCCCAAACTCCAGGATCAGCAACGGTGCTCGAATTACGCGATGCGTTATCCTTGATAATGTCATTATTGGAGAACGCTGTGTGTTAACTGGATGTGTGATTGGGAGCCGTAGTTTCATCGGCAATGGTTCGGTACTCAGTGATTGTGAAGTTCAGGAGGGTAATGTTGTTCCTGGGCAAACAGAAGCTAAGAACGAGAAGTTTATGCCACTTTTTGAAGATCTCGAAGAGGATACGGATAGTCCTGTGTTTGCGGGCGATTGTTAGAATGACTACATAGTTTTGATTGAAGAACTTGCCTTTACGATTCCCTTTTAATATATCACTGTTCTTGTGTATCAACCTTGGAAGGAAGCATAATATATATAAGTGGACTGTGTAAGTACCTATAGATCCTGAAAGTGTTAGAGCATATCCTACGAATATTCCAAATAGGAGTGATTTTGTATCACGTGCAACTTTGGCCGAGTTGGTTAAGGCGCCAGACTCAAGAGTTTTCCTCTTTCACTAATTTATGTGTGAGCATTCTGGTCACGAAAGTGGCGTGGGTTCGAATCCCACAGGTTGCATTCTTTTTTTACTTTTCCCTCTTCTTTTTGCCCATTCATTCTCATTGGTTTTTGCCGAGAGACATCTTTAATAGTTCCTAGACTGGTGGTGCCTTGTTCGTCTAGAGTTGTAGGGATTGAGATATCTGGCATTCGTGCAAAAAGCTTCTTTAATATAAAAACAGCAGTTAATACGTTACAGACCTTCTATGCTAGTTGGTAACAGGGGATATAATCACAAAGGTTTTAACGTAAAATGGCTTGCCTGGAAATCACCTTACTATTGATGTTAGAGTAAATACTTCTGTAGCTGGAAGACTTATCCTATTTGGGGAGTGACCATTAAGAGCTCGAGACAACGTTCCAACGACATTGACAATCCTCCTTACAAATTCGTGATTGTATCACCTATAAGACCGAAATTTTTCATACCACCATCGTAGACTGGTGGCAAGAGGTACGAGTTCATGTCCATTAGATCATCGTTATATTAAAGAGGAGAGATGCAAAGCAAGAAACAATCTATATAATTCCACACCACTCAAAGCCACCCTCAACCACACTCTATCTCTTTCGTCCAATCGTAATAAATGTAAGCCTTGAAGCCAACAATCTATGGTCTACGCCTTGTTGACGGCATTCTTGCTCATAGCCCGAACCTTGTGACCATAGTTGTATAATACGTAAGGAACGGGTGCCATGATGGTTGCAAGAATGCCGACAATGGTCACAGACCAATGGGGACCGATGTTCTCGTACATCTTGACCGAGGCAGGGCTGAGGGCACCAGCAACAACGTACCGCGCGAAGGTCATGAACCCTAGAGCTGAGGCTGCATATTGCAGGTACACAAAGATGATATACATATATGTCGTAGTGAAAATGCAAACAAGCGCGTAGCCAAAGACAGCGGAGGCCACAATCGGGGACCAGATACTAATGGTGGACTAGGGAGTGATGTTAGTAAAAGTGGTGTGAGAAGTGGTATCGGTGTATTACAGCACTTACATAGCAGGTCCAAGCCATCCAGAAGAGGGAAATCGGCATCAGGATAGATGCCCCGGCCATCGCCCAGTAGAGTGATACCTCTGGTTGCAAAGCCTTACCCTCCGCTTCAGCCTGTCTCGCTACCTTCTTTGTCATTCCATATAGAAGAGGAACCATAGCCAAAGCGATAACGAGACCCGGGATCATTGCGACGAAGATGATGAAGGTCATACTCGTGCTGATTTCATACACTTCCGCGAAGATGAAGGGATAGCCGTTGAGGAAGGTGAACATCACAAAGTAAAGCAAGACCAGGTAGAAGCTGAAAATTAGAATGATGGGCTCAGTCCAGATCATCACAAAGGGTCTGGATACATTGTTAAGTAGTCGGGTACCCAGAGAGCTAGCAGAGGTGGAGGCGGCGCGGTATCGGTTGTCACCAGTCAACTCGCGCAAATGCTTCGTACGCCATTCTAACAGAACAGGGCTGAAAGTCTCGGGCTGTGCAAGTAGAACCACCACCAAAGCGACACCAGCAATTATCATCGAGATCCAGTCGGCCCACACGTAGCCAATTTCAGGCGTGTAGGCGCCGATAACCGGACCTAGGATGGGACCGGCGTAGGCGGCGATAGTGACCGAGGGCAGACCAAAGGGAATTTGCAATGGTTGCCAGATGTCGCCGACAGTCCCGCCAGCCACCGTCATGGGGGTGGCTGCGAAGAGAGCACCGAGGAATCGGAAAGCGAGAGCAGCGCCATAGTTTGGCGCCAGCGCCTTGGCCATGATGAAAAGTATCACGAGGATCAGGGCTGTGAAGTAGACGATGTTGCGGCCGAAAGTCTCAGAGAACGGACCAGAAAATAGGGAGCCTACACCAATTCCAATAAGGAAGATACCTATCACGAATTATTACTATGGGCTACTTTCAAGCATAAGGGAAAAGAATAAGCTTACCGGTCGTCATTGACCCAGCCATGGGGTTTACACCAAAGCGCGCATCGAAGGCGTCCTGAGTCGCACCCTCCACCGAGGAGGGAATTGACATTGCGATGGCAATTAGACAGCAAGTCAACATGACCATCCACTTTCGGAGCAGAGACCAATTCTGTGGGTTGCTTGGGTCGTTTTCCCTCCAATCAACCAGGAAGACCACCTCGCCATTGTCTTCATCTGGCTGGGAAACTGTCACACCGGGTATAAGAGGACCATATTCGGAAATAGCTGGCTTCTCTGCTACTCCTGCCTCCAGGTCTGACCCCAATGATAGCGATGAGGTACTGGTACGCTCAGATTTGGTTTGAATACTGGCCAAGTCTTCTTCTGCTTGTCGGCGGATACGGCGATTTTGAAAGTAGGATTCCATGTTGATGTTCAAAATTTTAATAAAACTCGCTTGAACTGGTCTGTTTATTGACACAAGTGAATAAACCGATGGAGATGTAGAAATAAATGGTTTCTACCCCCAGGAGGAACGGGATAGTTATACTGGAAGAGCCCATTGTTGTTGATGATTCTGATTAATGATGTATTGATAATTGATCTGTTGTTCAGCATGATCGGATACATTTTTTTTCACATCGGGTCAACTCTCCTTCGGACACATAAGACAGTGAAGCGGGCAAAAATACGAGCCGATGACAGGGGTTCACGATAGTTCACTGATTGGTCGATAGGGGATCCACAGAACTAGTGCACATCAGTGTAGATTTGATTTACGCGGAGACTTTAGGAAGCTGATTTTGGAAGAATACATAAGCACATGAAATGACAAAGAGTGAATGACATAGACCGGCCTTTTTTGGTTAAATCTTCTATCCTTGACCCAATAGACTAGAAGTGTAGATCCAGGCCAGCTCCTGTAATTTTAAGCTATAGACCACTCCAGCCTTAAAACATGCCCTAGAGACCTACAGTAGCTAGATAATTATTCAATGTCACCGTAAAAACACACATGGTCTTGTTTTGTGAGGTACCTAGGTAGTTGCCGGACCATAAGTAAAACCAAGCACTCGTGCAGCATCAGCTAGAGATAAGTCAGACTATGCATATTTCGCCATCAGCTAATGTTCCCATAGCATTGCTAAGCACCTACAATATGCAATATGAGATGAAGAACCCGAAGATAACAATATGCTAGAGCGCTCCAGTTGGAAAATGAGAGGAAGAGCGAAGACCTAGATATCAGGACTAGGCGCTAAGCCCTAAAAGGCAATGCTAACCCAAAAAGGAAATCTAGAGGGGCAATTTTGGGGGGAAAAAAAATAAAATAAATAAATTTCAGTGCCTGATTTGTTCGTGTGGGGCAAACTTCCATTATCTTAACTTTTCTTATATTTTTTTTGTTTCTCCAAGTCTCAATTCCACTCTACGAGTCTCACAATCGCCTATCTGGCTCCCTCTCCTCGTATAACGGCCTATTTGCTTCGGCAAGGCAAACTCAAACTTCCCACCATGGCCCTCACCACCGTTGATCAAGTTACCCCCTCGAACCCCGTTGAAAAGACTCCCGATGTACTCGTGACCCCTTGCGATCCATGGCCTGCACCTTACTATTTGGATGGTGGGTTTCGTCGCGTCACACCATACCATTACACCTATAACACCAATTGCAAGGAGAGATGGCGTGGTCGCCAGCTGGTCGAGATCTTCACTTCCGAGTTTCGGGATCGGAAGCCAGAATACTATGTACGTGAATGCGTGAAATACGTGGATCTCCACATGTTAGAGAGTCGCAAACTGACAATTACCAGAGAAAAGCCCTGGAGGATGGCCTTGTGCAGGTTAACGGTGTGACAGCCGGCCCTGAGACGACGCTTAAGAACGGCCAGGTTATCTCACACACCCTCCACCGTCACGAACCCCCCGTTACGAGCCTTCCCGTTGGAATTATCTATGAAGACGACGACCTTATGGTTATTGATAAACCTGCTGGTGTACCAGTGCACGCTGCGGGCCGATACCACTTCAATACCGTCGTCGAAATCCTGCGCTCCGAGCGCAGCTCCGAATGGTTACCTCGCCCCTGCAACCGACTTGATCGATTGACATCCGGAATTATGTTCATCGGAAAGCACCCCCAGGGCGCCGAGAAAATGGCTACTGCGCTCAAGGCCCGCACTGTACAGAAAGAGTATGTCGCGCGCGTGAAGGGCAAGTTCCCAGATGGCGTGGTGGTCTGTGACCAGCCGATCATGCAGGTTAGCCCGAAGCTGGGTCTCAACCGTGTGCGCGCGACTGGCAAAGAAGCAACAACCAAGTTCCGTCGCCTGGCTTACTACCCTCCCGAGGCAGCAAAGGAGACCGAGTCATCTAGCGACGACGAACGTCCCGCTACCCCACCCGCCATTTTTGCCAATGAGAGCGAGGGCTACAGTATTGTGCACTGTTTCCCTCTGACAGGCCGTACCCACCAAATCCGTGTCCACCTCCAGTTCTTGGGCCACCCAATCACCAACGACCCTATCTACTCCAACCGCCGTGTGTTTGGGCCTGAGCTTGGAAAAGCAGAGGTGACCGCAGAGCGTGATGAAGAGATCGTCGCGCGGTTGTCTCTCATGGGTAAGACCGAGATCCCTGACACGGTTTCGTACCGCACTCACCTGACCGCCGCACCGAATGTCCCGCCGAACACCGATCCAGTACTTGTCAACGAGATCATGCATCGCGAACAGATGGCCGCAGCTGAAGACTACGAAAAGCGCAAGGGTGAACGTCTGTCCGGCAACTACTGTGAAGTCTGCGGCACAGAGCTGTACTCTGACCCGGGCCCCCATGAGCTGGGTATCTTCTTGCATGCTGTTGCGTATGCCGATAAAGATGGCGATTGGTCTTACCGCAGCCCCATGCCTCGCTGGGGCTTGCCCCCTGCGGGCATGGAGGGTCCTCACAAGTGTCCGGACTGGGTTCCTGCTGCTGAAGGCGAGGAAATCGTCATTGGCCATGGAACTGTTCCGGCTGGCTTGGGTGATGATGACTATGCTGCAGATTCAAAGACTGGCACAGTGCTTGTAGAAGGCGTTGGTCTCGTCAATATCTCTGATGCTGCTGCGAAGATGAACGGGTCTTCTTGTGAAGTCACAGAGGCAGCTGCGGCTACGAACTAATGATGTTGTCCTTTAGGGGTTCCTTTCTTGAAAATATCTTCTATCTTATCCTATCTCCAGGGATCCCTTTGTCTTTATCTTCATGATACCACTCTGCTGACTTGGCATGAAAAGTTCACGAGCATAGCGTCTTGGTCTTCCATGACATGTCGATACATTGATTTTTGGTCTTCTCTGGCGTATAGATTTGCTACTTTTAGAAGTCTTATAGAGATATAGAGATATGTGCAATCTATCAAAATTCTTTTGCATAGCATACCACTTGGAAACATGGAGTCCATGTATGTACTTTGTATCAGAGATCCGAATCGTAGTCCAAATCCCATGTGTTTGAACTTCTAGATCGATACTCTGCTAGAGATCATGTAGATACTATACTGTATGGCTCGCTAGCCATTTCATTTAATATATATCAAGCTCCGGCACGAACAAAGAAACAACCTTGTTCATACTAACCTCGAATAGGAAGAGACGGAGGCATCATTTCTCTAAAGAGTAGCCAATTTCCCCACGAAAAGATATGTTCGCTTGGTGCTGCGTAAATTGTTCCTTACACAGCCCAGACTGGACATGACAAGCCCCAAGATTCCATACAGCACACCATCCACTTTCCAATATACAGCCAGTGTATATTTAAATACACCATTTCGGCCAACGCTATAAATGCCGATATCTTTCAACATAATGCAAACCGAATCAGACCAAAACATAACGCTCAGCGCTCAACGCCAAGTATATCCCAACTATGTATAAAACAGACAACTCGAAATCCATCCAGGAAATCTAGCCGGTCACCCATGTCACCTTCTCACACTTCTCCATCTGCTCTAATGCAGCATCAACCCGCCACAGCATCGTCCCTGATTGTGTGCCTGGCTCGGGCTTCCCGCGCAGCACCGCGTCGGACGTTGTGCAGCGCAAGTCGGCTGTCAGGCGGTACTGAATGCACTGTGGATCTGCGGCGCAATATTCCGCGCAGGCAGCAAAGGATGTAGGCGTCTTCGGACCCTTGTAATCTTCTTTATCGTCACCTGCGCTCGCTAAGTTATCCCAGTTATCCAGGTGTGATGCGAGAGTTGGACGGATAAGGTTACGGAAGATGTCACTGTAAGTGAGGACATTTGAGTTTGTCTAGAAGGTTGTTAGTGACATATCCACATACAGCATACAGCATGGAGACGAATATCCCAATATCCGAATGAACTCCAGAAAAAAAAGATGAAAGGAAAACAACTCACATCAGCAAACCACTGCTGTTCGAATTCCCAGAACCGATCCACATCCGCCGGCGTCATATGGTGGAAGGTCGAAGGAGCAAAACACCAAGGATTCTTATCAAACGCCGCATGCAACATATCCTGCTCCCAAACCGACTGAGTAGTAACCTGCGGCCAAGACCAAGTAAGCTCAATCCCAGCCGCCGAAAGTGCCCTTCCAAGCACACAATCACCCGCCCATTCCTGATCCGTAATCTGATCCCACTCCTCAACATGCAATTTATGAAAATCCGCCAGAGCATGGATCGCAGCATGCGAAAGCACAAATCCAGACCCCCCATGCGCAAACAAACTCGGCCCGATCTGCATCTGATTTCCCAAATACAGCATATCCTCATGATTGAAATGCGCCAGCCACCCGAGTAAATTAGGCCACATCGGATACGTGTCTGCTTCCAGGAACACGAACCACTTAGCATCTGGCTTCTGGTATCGCGCTGTATGGATCATCGGGAGGAATTTCCACTTATCCAGTTTCCACCCTGGATTGTCGGTCATGCCGAACACACTGTTTTGGACTTTCGTGTGGTCTTCGTCCGTTAGGGCTGTGCGGCCGCCTTGACGGGCGCGGTTGTACAGGGCGAAATCGCTGTTGGTTTGTTTGAGCGTTTCGGAGACGTTGAGGAAGACGTCGTATGTGCGTGTACCGGCTATGTCTTCTTCGAAGTCGGAGACGATTATCTTGTGCGGGATGCAGCGGAGGGTTGTTCTTAGGTGTACGGGGACTTTGTGTTGCGCTTCTGTGATGCCGGTTTTCATCACTACGAGTACATCATCCATTCCTGTGTCTGTTGGACAGGATGGTGGTACATGGTCGGTTTGTGGGGTGGTATTGTTTTGGGTTTCGATTGTTAGCCCGGCGGCGGGCTCGATCACGTCCTGCGTGGTCTTTGAATCGAAATCCGCGTGGATTAAATGAAGGATCAAGAGGATTAGGAGTACTGGGCCAAGAATGGATACCCAGCGACCATATCGGAGTGGGACTGAGGGCATGATGGGAGAGGGTGGGACTCTAGAGGTAGAGAGGAGGAGAATCGAAGGGGGTCATTAATAGATTTGAAAGGATTTTAGTCGATCTTCATAGCCAGATGAAGACCTATATACAAAACAGGAAGTTGGGAGGATCTTCAGGAGGGGGTCTCCAAGTTCATAAGCGATGGGCGCGTGGGGGCTAACAAGTTCCGGGCTATATTATAGATATCCAACCAGAGCTATGGTACAGATTAAGCGACTGAGACATTGGCAAACTGAATTCTCGATCCCTGTTTGTCTTTTGTGCTGTGCAATGTCGGAAGTCCAGGACATTTTGCGTACGTCACCACTGGTGGGTCCGATCTGAAACGCATACAATTAGAATCATACACTTAAGACTCCGTATATTGTATGTTGTATAGGATAAAGGGGTTTCATCTTAGATTGTGTAGATCGTATAAGGGCAATATCAGAAACGTTAGTTCATTGTTTTTAAGGTTACGATTTTGCTTGGCTACACCATGACAGACATGCCCAGATGTACTACATGCACATTCATCAGGTCAGATTACAATCTGCCAAATATCTTGGGTAAACCAAAGGGATTTTTTGTAATCTTTGTTGTCATTTCAGAGAACAATTCTCTCGCTTCACAGCGCCCGGCACTATGACAAGGCCCGAGCCGGACATGCCATGCACAATCCTTAAATTTCGTTATCGCCAGAGAGATAGTATCGCCATACAAAAACCCCGACCTACACCAATCCAAACTAAAAGGAAACAAACTGGGTTTATTCCATTTATGCCTCGGTGGTGACACGGCCCTTGGGGTTAGTGACCTTAACACCGAGAGCCTTGGCCTTCTCGATGATCTCGACACGCTTGCGGGAAGAAACGGCGTGGCCGATCCTGTAGAACTTGTTAGCAACAGAAACACATACTGAGAGCATTCAAGGCCGCTCCGATAGGCAAAAAAACATACTCAGCAGCGAAGGTGCGGTTGTGCATGAGGAGGAGCTCAACGTCCTTGGTGTTGTGGACGAGGAAAGCCTTGTGGCCGGAAGGCATCATGTGACGGGTCTTCTTGTTGGAACCGTAACCGATGGAGGGCATGGCCATCTGGCCCTTGAAACGGCGACGAACGCAGTTATCAATTCCCTTGGGCTTGCGCCACGAGGCGCCAACGCGCATGAACCGGTCAGACTGGTGACGGTTGAAGCGGTTCGTGCCTAACGGTCCATGTTAGTCCTCCGATCGTCAATAATTTGTGTCCTCTCCTCCACAGCCCGGATAATGTCGCCGTTCGATCCAAGACAGATGTTGATTTTTTTTTTTTTTCCCCACAGCAATCCTCCAATGGTTGTTCTCTTCGTTTGGTACATCTCGCTGAGTTTGCTTTGTTTCATTTGGTCGACGATCGAAACGCGATGGTATCCAGGGCACGGGCAAAAGGAATGGGACAGGTGATCGGGAACATACGCTTCTTCACGATAGGGATGTGCTGCTTAGCGGCGACCATCTGGAATCAAAATTAGTGACTGTATCGAATTATCATGCGCATTAGATGACTGACCTTGTCGGTATTGCTGGGTCTCGCCGGGCGTTCGAGAGTTGTCGGGTCGGAGTTCAATCTCGAAAACTTCTCTCTCAGGTTCTCCCGCAGCAGAGTGGGAGACCCACACTAGTGCGCTTTGGGCGAACTAAGCGAAAGCAGACCACTTATGTCAGCCTAGGGCTGATCTAGCCCTAGCCCTAATATTCCCATATAGGTAATATCTATAGATGTTCTATACTATAGACCATGGTCTATCCTATCTTTCTTATGCTACGCATTCATACTAGTAGTTCAATATATTCTTAATTCATGTCATTTATGCCAATTGATTCCACAAAAATCGATATATAGCATTCAAATATCACTGCAGATGCAACTGAACCTTCTCGCCATCTTTCTCGCCACTCCGCAACATCTGCTCCAAGATCTCAAGATCCGCCAATGCTTCCTCGGGAGATTGTCTGGTATCCGGCTTTCCACTCAGAATTGAGTTTGCAAACTCCGCCACCTCTGGCTCAACACCCTTGCCATCAAACTTAACATGATGCTTCTCGCCATTAACTATCACATCATCAAAGTTCAAGGTGACGACACCTTTCTCGCAAGCAACCTCGAAAATCTGATCATCAAACGACGATCCCCACGACAAAGAGATAACACCCGTAGCACCAGATTCAGTCTTGGCAACAGCATCAACTGTATCAACCGGTGGCAGGAACGATTGCTGCAGCTGCGACTGCGCAGACAGAATGCTAAGACGCTCTGCGGGGCCTAGCATCAGGCGCAGCGCAGCAGTCATATGCACACCACCATCCAAAAGGAATCCACCCTGGTAGCCAGGAGTCTTGCGCCAAGCGGTGTCTAGTTCAGATATAGTTAGTTTCTGTTACATTATCCATGTAAAGCTTCAACCGGGACTAAACGTACGGAAGTACTTGTTCTTCACATCCATCAGGCTGTGAACGTTCACCCGGAAGTTCTGGACCTTGCCCAGCTTTTGGACTTGCTCTGCCGCGAAGAGGAACTTGGTCATATAACGGAAGTTCTCGGCGACGGCCCAGAAGACCTTGTTGGTATCGATCTCACTCTTGTACCATTTCAAAAGCTCCTGGGCAGTGGCAACATCCTTAGCAATGGGCTTCTCAGACAAGACGTGCTTGCCAGCGAGAAGTGCTTTCTTGATGAACTCTGGCTGAACCAGAATAGGAAGACTGTCGAGAGTTAGTGTTTGGCCCTGTTGTTTGAGTGGTAAGAAAACGGGGGTCTCATACGCAATGATCACAGCCCCGATATCTGAGCGAGCCAGTAGGTCGGTATAGGATTTGCCAGAGCCTGAGTCTTCAGAATAGAGATCGACTTCAGAGGTGCCGCTGGCGAGGTCTTGGGCTGACTTCAAGGACCGAGAATAGATGGCCTTGAGTTCGAAGTTTGAGGCAGCTTGGACGGCAGGCTGTAAGGTTAGTTAGTCCAGTACATTCTATATAAAATGTTATTACTGGAGAGGTGTCATACTAGGTGCTGCTCTTGCGCAAAGAGACCACTGCCGATGATAGCGACGCCGATAGACATGATTTATTTGAAAGTTGTATAGAGGTAAGTAAAATGTTGAATGTTAGTTTTCTTTTTCCAGTGCTTCCGGGTGCTATTAAAGGGAAGTTGAACAATGTGGGTACACGAAATGTCCCCATAGCCACTTTAAACTACGGGAAGGTCCAACCTCAACGCACGTCATTGGCTACATTTCCAATTTGGTTTAATCGGATGTCCTAATTGACATGCAAGGTTTGATCGGAAAGATAGTTTTTGGACTAGTTTTATGTTTATATATACTCCGTACGGAGACTCCGTGATAGATCGAGCTTACAATTCAAAATATGACTCCAAACTATAGAAATACAATGCACCGAATAAGGGAATCCAACCCAAATCCCAACGCCCAATCATTTCCATCATCAAATAATCCAATCGTACCAGTCATAACAAGCAGGCAACCCGCATATTAACCAAAAGCCTTCCACCTGGGCAAAGTTGAACCCATCATTGATGATTAACCAAAGCTCTCAGCCGTTCCACACGCGCAACAGCCTTCTCCAATCTCTCCAATCGACTGCGTTTCTCAACATCCCTCTTCTCTAACACAGCAACCCTCTCTTCAAGCTTCGCCCGTGCCCTCCTCTCCTCCGCAACCATCTCATTCGCCTGGCTGAAAAGCTGCACAGTCAACTCTTCTAGCTCGGTGCTCGCCTGCGAAAGCTGCGACTCAGCAGCCTCGCGCAGTCTCTGTTCGCGCGTAAGCGCATCCTGTAGTTCCGCGGTGTGCTCGCTGTTCGCGGGAGACATGTGTGGGATGGGAGTTGTCAGGGCGGTTGGAGTAGTTGGGAGACCGTTGGATGTTGTAGGTGCGCTTGCGGGGGTTGCACTGCCGCGTCTGTAGGGGAGGAGAGAGGCGAGGTTTGTGAGGCGGCTGTGGTATGTTGGGGGCTGGGAGTCTGAGGTTGTTGGGCGCCGTGGTGACTGGTCGACTTGGGAGGGGGGTCTGCCCAGTGAGGAGCTGCTTCGCGGTGTGTGGTAGGAACCTTGAGACTGAGAGGAACGTAGACGTCGAACTTCGTCTTCGTACTCGCTGAGTTTGGAGGCTGTTTGCGATCGGGTTAGCAAGTTCTTGTTTAAGGGTTGGGTTGAAAGGGGAAGGGGAAACAAAAGACTCTCTCGTCTTCTCATAGACGCGCAATCGCATGCGACACTTGTATAGTCTGCAGAGTCGAGGGCAAAGGCTTACCTGTAGCCGACGCGCGCGCTGTCAACGCATGCACCTGCCCCTCCAACTCCTGGATTCTATCGTGGGCACCAGAGCCATCTTGGAGAATTCCTTCTCCCCAACACATAGGACATTGTTTTTCTGATACACTTTTCATGGGTGCGACAAGCGTGGTGATGGTGGTCGACATGACAACATGGGGCTTACCCCGGGATTCTTGAGGGGTTTAATTTTTAATATAAGACTAGGGTACTCCGTACTTTGCAAGGATTTAATAAGTACCTAGATACTCTGAATTAAAAAAAAAGGATGGAATTAGAAAAGAAATTGAAAGGCTGAAAGATCCTTGGACCCTTGAAGGGGTTTCAATTAATTCCATACCGGCCACTTTTATTTCTTGGCTCCTGAAAATGGCCATGTTTTGATTTTATATATAGATCTACACTTACTTACCTACATAGTGTTCAAAACAATAAAACAGTGCCTACATAGTACATACTATATACTAAGATTTAAAGCTCATACTATCTAAGTACATACATATACGTCTCCCACAACTGCACCCTCTTATATTCCACGTTCTGCCCGTTTCAGACTAGTGGATCCTATTTATATACCCTTGCTTGATCTACAGGTCAAATCTGAACTATTTTCTTATGTCTTGCAGATATTACTTATACTAAAATTAGATGTACTTCGTATTCCGTACATTACTATAAACTATTCATCTGATCTAACCCCATTTCTTCAAGGCAACCGATCGACCTCGGTCTGATACACTAGTGTCTTGGAAGCCTTGTCAGAGATATGCAGGGGCACCTACAATGATATTGTTACATATTTATAGCCTATCTACATGATACTCTAAGAGAAACAAATCCTAGTCAGTGAAGACTGCATTTCATTCTATGCTAAGCGGAAACTAGGTTAGTACGCAGAAATGGAGCAAAGACTATCGAGACAACTCTGCCATGCAAAGATCCCAAAGAATTGAATTAGAAGCAGTCGAAGGAACAAAGAACAGGAATGGATTTCGTCAACGTTGTGCTCATGAGAGGGGTGCTCGTAATGACTATTCTCGCAGAGTCGTCTTGTTCGCATGGCCGAGTACGGAGAAAGAAGAGTGTCAAGACATCAACTCTCCAACGTATATCCCAACGGCAGACAGGAACGAGAAAGAAACAGGACCACCCGTGGTCAATCGAACGGAAGAGAGGAGAAAATTGAGAGAAACAGCAAAAGGGGGGAAAAATAAAATGGAACATGTAATATTCATTTCGCATCGGCTGTAATGGTCATGGGCAGATCACTTTGAGTCACGCATGGGAATAATAGCTAGATAGCGAACAAGACATAAAATGAAACTTTTCGGACTGCCAGATCATCGAAGCGAGGACTAGATGTATGTCGAGAAAAAAAATCTAGCCCACGAAAAAGGAAAAGAGATCATGAAACCAAAGGCAAAAGAGTAAGAAGTGGAAAGGAGAATAAAGCTCAATCAGAAAAAGCAATCTACGTCCGCGCCGAAGAATGGACCGAGCAGGTGGTAATTATGAGTGACAACCCTATCCAGTGCACCGCTCAAGGTAACTCGACCGAGCAGTACACCAAGACCGGAATGAACCTCGTCCAGAATTAACCCACCTGCGTACCGGGAAATCCAAGCCTCGGGCAAAGACGGCCGCTGCTTCGGGGTATCGATACGTTTATGCGAATCCACGACCAGTCTGTCCACGGCCCTTGTTGCGCTTGTTCACGCTGACTGTGCTCCATCCCTCGTCGTCACCGCCAGCAACAGCCTCGGCGGCCGGGGCTCTCCAGCCGTTAGCAGACGGCTTCTTGGTTTCGGCAGGAGCGGCAGCTGTCTCCTCGGTCTCTTTTTCAACAGTCAACTCGCCATCCTCGCCGGTCCGTTGGAGGACCTCGAAGTTGCCACCACCCTTGGGGGTCTCAAGGGCATCCTTGCCGTTGTGGTCCACGGGAGGGGCTGCCTCCTTGAGCTGCTTTTGCTTCTCGGCGAATTTCTCAGCCTTCTCGGCCTTGGCCTTTTCAGCAGCTTCTTGCTTTTGACGGATAGCAAGCTGGCGTTTCTCCTCGACCTGACGCTCGCGAGTAGCGGTATCAATGGGGCGAGCGGCACCGAAGGGGCTAGCCTTGGAATCGCTGGTGGCTGAGGTGGGGGTGGGGTTCTCTGAGACAGTGCGCTTGGTCAAGTTCAGCTTGGGGCGACCAGCAGGGGCAGCGGGAACGGCAGGCGTAGCAGAGGGAGAGGCGGGGCTGATGGGCTCCTTGGGGGTTTCGTCGGGGCGCATTCTCGCGCGCCACTGGTTGTCCATATCGGCAGCAGTAGGTGTAGGCTCTGGGCGAACGTGCTCGGGGCGGGGAGGGCGTGAGCCCTCGTCCTGGGAACGTCCCTCACCCCATGCTGCCTCGGTTCTGCGGAAGCTGGAACCAGGTCCATCGTTGCTGTGCTCCCGGCCACCCTCGCGGGGCGGGCCACCGGCAGAAGGCGAAAGGGGTCCCTTGCGCTCCCAGTTGTTGAAGTCACGGGGCTTTCCGTCGGACTCGAAGTTGCTGCGGCGGCCACCGTGGTCGCTGCCCGCATCGGAGCCACCACCCATGCCACGTCCGAAGCTGGAGCGCTCAGGCGCACGGCGTTGGGGAAGCTCGGGGAGGGGTCCACGTCGGGACCAGTCAAGATCCTTGCCTTCCAGGCGAGACTCCTTGGCTAAGTATCGGGTCAGTCGATATATTCACAAAACCAAGAACCTTCAGTACTTACGAGGCTCCGCAACACTGGTACGGATGGAACGTCCCTGGAGAGACGAGCCAGACAGATCCAGAGCCTTCTGCAGGCCCTCAACGGTCTCAAACTCGACATATCCGAAACCCTTGGGGGCCTTTGTCAACTTGTCCTCGACAAGACGGACGCTCGTCACACCGCACGCAGAGAAAAGCTCGGAGATATCGGCCTCAGTTGATTCGAAGGAAAGGTTGCCAACGTGGCAAGTGTAGGGGGGCTGGGTGGGGAGATCGAGAGGCTCCCGGACGGCGTATCCACCACGCTCGCGCTCTAATCATTCAATCTGTCAGTCTGTTTTATGTATCTGGCGCGGGGGAGGGGGGGTATCATACCGTAACCGCCGGTGGAGCCGGAGCCAAATGCCATATCACCCGCGGGGCGACGGCTGAAGGTAGATGTCAAAGGCTGGGCTATCCATAGTGTAAGTAAGGGCTTCGATCAACGATAAGCATGTTAGGAATTGGGCACACTACATACTGGCTATAAATTTCGTTAGTATAATTTCGCAATTTCCATAGCGGGGCTGCAACTTACAAGGAAGGGGCATATCCTCCATCTCATCAGCCCAAGAGCCGAGGCCTATAGCCGTCAGTAATGATCTCAAACCATTCAAATTTTCCGCTCACTCACTTTCATCGGCCAAGAAGGTGCTCATAGACATCTTCTGGGCTTTGTTTTTGGGAGCTAATTTCCATCATGTCAGCAATCGCTCATGAATATTTTCGCCGACAGGTTGATGTCCTATCGGGGGAAATAGAGGTCTGGAACGAACCCATGATTGCGGTTTGAAGTTGGGGGAAACGCGCCAACGGATTTGTGCGCGCTTCTCGGAGAGTAGGGTTGGGTGGGAGGAAAAGTCAAAAGATCACAGAGGCACCTGGTTAGAAAGCCAAGAATCAAAATTTAGATCAAGTAGGCAGGATAGGTTTAATATCTGCAAACACACAGTGGAAAAGTTGGTAGAGGGGAAGTCGGCTGCGGCATGGAAGCGGACGGGTTACTAAATTTTTAGTGATGACGCTAGCCCAATCAGAGCCGCGAGATCGGTCTATACCTGAACTACGACCATTTTCGAATTCATTTGTATTTTACTTAAATATATAAATAATGTGAAAGTAACAGGCTACTCATGGTTTTGATTGTTTCAGAAAAGAAAAAAAAACTTGAAGTTGGAGTTCATATCTTATCTGTGTACGGAGTACAATAGACTTCTTCATACTCGGCTAAAAATATATCACGGAATATACCCCAAACCAACAAAGAGTATACAACTTTATGTTTGTTTCAACCTCATTGGCTCACCTTCTGTCATTCCAGAAGGGGCTGGTTTGCTTAGTCTCGGTTACTTGTAAGAATCAACAATATCACAAGTACCTCTTTATAGATCTCCCCCCCCCCCCCACTTCCCCTCCTAGTAGCCCTGGAGCCATATAGCAATGATTGCCATAAGTATTGATCCATAAAGAGAGTGCCACTCTTAAATAGTAATAAACGGTCAAGAACAAACATTTGATAGTACCATAGATGGTCTTAGTACTAATCGCTTTCCCAAGTTGATCAAAGCGCTGACCAAGGGCTGATCTAGTACTTACACTACTAAGGACTAAGGAGACACCTAGAGATATGGTATTCCGGAAGTATGACTAGCCGTGGATGGGTTCATACGCTTCATCGGCCTAATTCCTAAATCATTGTGTAACAAGAATGCAATAACATTGCAAGCTAGCTTGAATAAAGATCCGAGCTTTGACATTAACAGATAAGCCTTTTGGCGTCGTTTTGGTGTAGCAATAGGTGTTTCTTGGATATTGCACCTGTAAAAGTGGAGGCTAGGCGTTTCGAGCCAGTAGGAATGAAAAGCAACAGTTTGAGGGGAAAATAAAGATCGTGGGGCTGGCTGTCTTGCAGGCGATCATCTGCTGGACATGTGTAATGTGGGGATATATCTTGGATCTTCATACTTGCCATTTCTCTCTAGCATATTTAAATCAAGTTAGTTGCTATATAATAAGAATATAAGAAAGAAGTACATCACTCAATTGTTTTTATACAAACTTGAATCTTACTCTTTAGACCTTCCTGTTTATGCCCTAATCCATCCATCCATGGCTCCAGGGGGTGCAGCCCTGGAGGTGCCTGAACATAATTACATAATCCAGGGACATCAACCTGGCACGTGACCATATTCTTTCTGACTTGGATTGTTGCTTGGATGTTTCGATGATTGTAAATTACCACTCCATGACCCTTGAACTCATGTATCTCCCCGTTTGAATAAAAGATGGGCAACCAAAATAAAGATATGCAGGACTTTCAGTCCCACGCTTTCCTGTCTGCAGCCAAAGTTGGAGCCATCAGCGGTCAGTATCTGTCTCTCACAAAATTGTCTGGATACAGACACAATGAGTCTCTGAAGATGAAGTGCTGATTTCCCAAGGAACTGCCGGCCTGATTTATGGTGGAGCTGCTGGAGTCATCAGATCTCCCAATCCCATGATCCATTCATTGTCATGTGGCATCCACTGGTTTGCATGCGGCTCAGCCTTTTGGTGTATGTGGATACACCCTATGTTTATATCATGAATGTCTAACCTTAATGGAACAGGGCTGCGGAGCAACATCATTAAACACCATTACCAAGATAAAGCCTCACCGAAGGAGCGTACATATGCGAGCGCTTTATGTGGTGGCATTGCCGGTGGAAGTGTAACGAAGTTGATGGGTACCGTATCCCCCCATCGAAAGTCGAAAGCACATCTTGTGGTATGTCTAACCAAATCAAATAGGAGGCCGGCTGGTTCCGGGAGCTATCATCTTCTCATTACTGGGTTACTGTGGCCAGAGCGTCTTTAACCGAGTGGACGCCTGGCAAATGGAAAATGCACACAAGACATCAAAACCTCTGATGCAGCGAATGGCCGACTCTAAATGGATTCCACTACGCTCACTCTCTGACCAAGAATACAGGGAGATGTTGAGTGAAAAGCTGCTTAGCGTCGAGGCTGAGATTGCTCTTCTTGACGAAAAGATCCAGGAACTGGAGAAATCTCGACCAGTCCCGGATTTAAGCTCAAGTAACCCCGAGGTGTCTAAGGACCAAGTCTAGCTGTGTGACGGTCCATGCAAGGTTTGGACAATGGTATCTTTTGCGCACGGACAATAAGCATTGCATGCGTCAAGTCGGAAGTACGATTTGAAAAAGGACACGTGATAAAATGTAAATTATTATAAGACAAATAACTGTATAACTAGAAGAGAAAAAGAGAGAAAATTCTATGGTAACAAAATGATATACAACATAGGAGAGTCAGGGATGATCTCCCCTGAACCTTGGGAAAATTATTTGGGTCTGTCGATCAACCATGAAACTATAGAAGGAACCTTCTAGTACTCTTCCAGTACTTCCGGAGTAAATAGACTAGAATATGTCTAATAGGAGAGATAATATAAAAGAACAAAGCAATTAATATAAGCCGGTTTTGGCAAAGAGAAATAACTAGCGTTTCCGCTTTTTCTCTGGTTCCTCCGACCTGTCCGGTAACCCACCCTCTCTCATTCTCCCTTACCCTTGAGTTTCTCCCCCCGGCATGATTCGCCTACACTCATTTTATTTGAATCAGCCTGCAGTGCTTATCTCACTGAGACTTTGATGGATAAAGTCGCTGCTGTTCTGGAGTCTGGAATCGCTGATTCCAACCAGACAGTAGAGAGGCCCGGATCTAACAACAGCTTGAATCCCGATCGAAATAACCTCAATGTGCGAATCGACACTGCCTATCTGAGATCAGCCCCCTGCTGATCGCAAACCGCGATGACACTCTTTAATCCGACATCGATTCTCGTGGGATTCCTCCTCCTCTACCTCTTATCCTTTTTCATCTTCGCTATCGTCCGGATCGCGACGGGGATCTCCATTCAACGGATCGGCTACTTTTCGTTGCGTCGAATCGCATACACCCCGAGGGAAGGGATACACATTGAAATCCGCGGCATCGGGCTCGCGTTACATCCCTCGTCATTTGCCCAGCCAACATGGATCAGCATTCGGTTGACGGAATTGAAGATTACCGTGGACTCGACGAATCCGGGGCAAAGAAAACGCGAAACGCCCCGCGACACACCCGAGACTCTCAATCCTCCCAATCCGCCCGAAAACTGCACCACGCCCGAGTCTGATGGAAGGAGCAAAACATGGAGGACGTTAACAAGAATCAAGGATCATGTGAAGCGGCTACACCGGAAGATCAATTGGTTGGCTCTTGTGGACCTGACTGCTATCAACACAACCGTCCACTATGTCAACGCTGGCCAGATCCAGGTGGGATCGCTTTCTCTTTCAGTCGACACGCGGAGTAAGATGGTGGAACGGGGCAAGCTATTTCGTCGCAAGAAGGATATGTCACAAGACCAACGCCCAGCGGAATGGATTATGAATGCTCAAAACGTTTTACTCAATGTCGACGGTCGGGAGCCAACCGAGATATTGGATAATGTGGGCATAAACCTCCATGGACTTCTTCACAAGGATTTAGATGGCCTCAGGGACGCCTCGGTAGCCATCAAAATTGGACGTATGCATATTCCGTACGACGATGTCCGAACGATACTGCAGCGCATTAAGTCGGTCAAGAAATCCGCACAAGGGCCATCGAATCTCGAGTCCGATGACGGAATATCATTTGCTGATTTCGTGGATGAACTTGACAATCCCGGAAGCAGAGACGATTCCATTGTACAGACTGTGGCGGACTCAAAAGAGTTTGCAAGCTCATTACTTCGTGGTATACAGGAGATACAGATCGCTATGAGCTTCTTCCGTGTCTCAAAGGGTATTCAGTCTCTGTCCGCAGGACAAACCCCCGTGTATCTGAATGTGGTATCGCATGAGCTTGGAATTGATCTCCACCGGATGGACCCAAAGAGCCCGGAGCATCGCATGTATTTCCAGCGGAATGATATTGCGCACCAGGCTCTTCTTGCTGCTATCTCTCTTTCAGTCAGCTTAGGTGATGAATCGGGCGAGACCGATAACATTCTGTACATCCCCATGGCTACGACAACTATTAAAACTACGCTGCCCTCGAAGACGGTAAGCACCTTTGATGATGAGAACGCCGAGGAGCGAAACACAAATGTTTTGTTCGCAAATTTGGTCGTCACATCACCCTCAGTTGATCTCCAACCGCAACATGTTTCGAGGCTTCTCAAGTTGGCACAAAACCGAGCCTCCTCTCCTCGAGGGAAAAAGCAAGATAATCGTCGCTTGATTTCTCGATTACTCCCCAAAGCAACTATCAAGCTTTCTGTTCACGAACCTGTGATTCGGTTTGTTCTTCCAATTGAGAAAGAGTCTGGTACTCCCGATGATTACAACCTCATCATCTCCTCGATCTCCTCTATTTCACTAGATAGTGAATCCTCTCATTCATCTGAAGGCGGTGCTCACTATTCTCTATCGTGTATTTACCGCGTCGCCTCCCACAAATTCTATTACCAGACTCCAGCAGGAAACAAACACAACTTGCTCACAAACGAGAATATGGAGTTGAAGGTCCACCTGAATGCCACCCCGGAGGTCTGCGTAATCGCCTCAGGAAGTCTTAACGAGTGTTCAGTCCACATGATTGATGGAGAGGTCAACCGTGGAATCCGCGAAGTTTTGCAGCAATTCATTACCCAGATGGAATCCCAGAAGCGGGTACCAATGCCGGCAAATGAACGAAAGGCAAGCGTGTTGAGACGAGTGCCCCCATGGTTACTCCAATTTCAGTTTGAAGCCACAGGGTCCAGTGTGGAAATCGCTGGTGTGGACAGCACTGTCTCTGATATATCTCGTGGTGTCTCCCTCCAACTGCAATCCTGGACAGCGGAATATAAAGCTCAGAAAACGGAGAAAAATGTTGGAAGCATTACGAGGCGACGTACCCCTAGCCATTCCACCATCGGCGATGAATCGCCTTTCCGATTTCCCCCAACCTCGCCCCCAAAGGCCACTCACACCCAACGTGGCGCTTCAGATGGCCGTCGACTGGCTCTCCACGCGCGTGGTTTTGATGGCTTTGTAATTGAATCAGAAGATTATCTCGAACCCGAGCCATTCTTCTCTTTGCCTCGATTCGAAATTGCACTGAGCACCCATAGTGATCGCCTGGGACCGGTGCTACATGTCACCTCCATGTTCAAGGGTATATACCTTCAGTACTCATTGTATCGGTTCTATTGTGTTGGTGTTGCCGTTTCTGTGATCCAAGACGTGCTCACACCTTTGCCGCAAAAGCACTCACAGTTTACTGAAAGCAAACCCAGAACACCTGCAAGCATATCGCTACCGCCACCTCCGACATACCAATGGTCGCCAAAGAAGGAGCTGGTCACTTACGACGTGAAGGCAACTGTTGTGCAGCTTAAGGCGAACTTACCAAATGATCCTCAAATAATGATTCAGGTCTACGGACTTGCGGGTGCTTCTCAACGTCTTTCTACCCCTTATGTTAAAGCCAGCCTTGTTCGCTTCCATGCAGAGGCCCCTAAGCTCAAGGGTGTTTGGGCAAGAATTGGCAGTATGAACAATGTCAGGGTGGATTTCCGAAAGATGAAGATGAAGCATGGCAACACTCTAGTTGAAGAAAAGTCTATTGATATATGGACAGACTTCATTCGAATTGGTGTACCTCATCATATGGTGATGCACCGCATTTTTGATAACCTGATCAACACTTCCAAGGCCTTCAAACAACTGCATCAACGTTTCGGAAATGGGTGCAAAAAGTTTGGCTCCAAGAGAGAGCCCGAAGGCCCGAAGAAGGTTCCTAGAATATCTCTCCGCAGCAAAGCGTTGCTTTTCGAGCTGGAGGACGATGGATTTGAGTGGAAATTGGGTTGCATTTATCGAGTTGGCCTGGTCGAACAGAGTCAACGACTGGCCCGGGAAGACGCCTTCAACTTGAAATCACAGAAGGTCAGGGAGTCTGACCAGCGGCGCGCCGCATCCCGATTACGAGCCAAATCGAGCCATCGAACATTGCGTAGCGAGCGAACCAGCCAAGATACAAGGCGAAGCAGGAGTGCCGATGAGCGACCGAGATCTAGCGCACAAGAACGTGGGAGAGGTCGGAAATACCGCTATAACACGGATGGCGCGACCTGTCTCTCATCAGAGCAAAAGATTTCCGTCGACGCCGCTTGGGGTCGACTTCAACAGTACAATGCCCAAGTCTGGAAAGAGAAGATCGATGCGGCTCTCATGTTCCAGGGCACTTCTATCAAAGAAGTCCGAAACCTCTTTTCTGGTGCAGATGAACCTCCCCCGGATGTAAAGGAGACTGAAACCATTCTTGCCATTCCGAATAGACCAGGTCTGATGTCAGCTCTAATCAGTGATGTCAATCTTGTTATTGACAAGCCCTCATTCGCTATTGAAGAGCTCCCGGGTTACTTGAACCGAATCGGAAAGGGAATGCCCATGTCTATGCAATATGGCTTGCTTATCCCAATGAGCTTCAACCTGGAAATGGGTGAAGCACGCGTCAACTTACGCGATTATCCTCTAGACTTCTTGCACATTCCAGCCCTGCGCCCAGGACAGTCTCCTAGACTTCCTAGCTGGTCTTTGCGGACGAACTTCGTTATTGCAGAAGAATGGCGTGATCACGAGTCCGCAAGACAGGTCGAAGTGGAACTCGTTCCTGCATCTGAAGGGCCTGACGGATCTCCCCGCGATGCGTTCAAGATTCCTGTCTGGCGTTCTGTCACCCCAGTTAAGACTTATTCGGACCCTGTTATTGAGATAAACACAAGCTTGCCAACTAGCATCTCATGGGGTGTCTCGTACCAGCCTGTGATTCAAGATATGATGAAGATCATTGAGGGTTTCACCAAGCCTGAGATTGATCCTTCAGAGCGAGTGGGCTTCTGGGATAAGATCCGACTCAGCTTTCATTCCCGGATCAGAGTTCTCTGGAAGGAAGATGGCGATGTACATCTACGGCTCAAGGGCTCTCGTGATCCATATGTGGTGACCGGCTTTGGAAGCGGCTTTGTCATGTGCTGGCGCAGAGATGTCAAATTGGATCTCAACACCGGTGACAATCCCATGGAATTCATGAC